CAATATCCTTGTGGTCCTCATCAGAAAGCTCTAAAGCTTCAAACCTATTCTTAACATCTAGCTCGAATTGTGTTCTAATTGATGGATTTTTTAATTTTTCCAAATTAGAATTCTCAAAATCGAAACGGTTTTCTTTTCTCTTTTTTATAATAATTTTTTGTCGAAGTTTTGGCCATGTAGGCCTATTGTACGCCTAGTTTGAAGTCACTTCGGTTAGAGTGTAATTCCTGCAGTCTCTATGAACTTTAATAAGCTTGTTGGATTGATAAGTTGGATTGATCGTTTCCCTTGGGATCCTTTTCTCTATCAGTGCCAAATAAACAAAATCTTAGGCTAGCAAACCCATCGCACCAGCAAGTGACATGATACGCTGTCTCATCCTCCCGGCCAGAGCACCTACAAAGAGACGACTCTGTGAACCAGAGTTTGAACATACGATAATTCAGTTTACAGTGCCCTGTATATGCATCTGTAATTTTCTTAAGTGAGCTCCTGCTCAAATTAATTAGTAAGTTAGTTCCTTTTTGGCAGATTCCTTCCAGAAACAGTCTAGAGTGGGTCTGCTTTTTCAATGACCAGTTCCTTTCGTTTTCAGCACCATATATCTCCCCGATTCTGTTTCTTGTCAAACACTGACTAATGGGTTCCGGAGCTATTGGAGTTGTTTGAGAGCCTTGTCTGGCTAGTTCATCAGCCATTTCATTACCATGAATTCCCGAGTGACCCGGAACCCATTCAATGTATACCTTATTAAGTCTAGATAATTCGTTGAGAATTCTAACACAATCCCCAACTACCTTGGATCTAGTTGTATAGTTGTCTAATGCTCGTATGGCCGCTTGACTGTTCGTATATATTGCTATCCTCGTCCCAACTAACCCGTCAAGCAGCATTTTTGAAGCACAGTGATTTATTGCCAGTATTTCAGATTGAAACACTGTTGCGTAATTTCCAAGTGCTATTGACATGCCCGCCTCTGGTTCGTCCCTTCTCCAGAAACCAGCTCCAGATCCACATGTCATAAGTGACCCATCAGTGTAACAGTTGATCCCATTAACGGGCTTATGTTTACCTGAGCTGTCTATTTTAACATTATACATCTTTGTGATAAATTCTTGAGTTTGACTGTCAGAATGCATTGTAAGCAGTCTGCCAGCCTCAATTTTGTTAATTATTCCGTAATGTCCCTCCAGGGTATTTATCTTTCAGCATAAGTTTAATTTTTGTAGCCTGTAAAAAGTTTTCATGGCCTACTTTTCAATCTCCAATTGCAGTGGTAAGATACCTAGTATTATCTCCATGGCTGCAGTTGGAGTAGTTTTCATTGCGCCCATTATCATTAAGCAGGCTAGTCTCTGTACTTTTTCCAATTGTGTCCTATTGTGGCCAACTCTTGCCTTATGCCACCATACAACAGTTGAATATAGAAGCATAGGTCTGACTGCTGCAACATACAACCAGTAGACCATCTGAGGTCTAAGTCCCCATACCTTCCCTACTCCATTCTTACATGCCCAGAGGCATTTTTGGGATTTTTTAGTTGTGTACTCTACATGTTTATTCCACATCATTTTATTGTCCAGCATAACCCCTAGATGTTTTACCTCCTTACTTTCTGTTAGCTGGATATTATTTATTCTAGGTAGTCTTATTTCTACCTTTATTTTCTTTGTGAAGATACAGACATTTATCTTGGCCGGATTGACACTAAGTCCACTGGACCGGCACCATTCTTCCAAGAATTCAGTCGCATTTTTCAGCAGATCAGATAGAACATTCTGATGTTTTCCACCAATGAGAATAGCGATATCATCTGCATATCCTTGTGCATAAAAGCCTGCAGTGTTTAAAGTTTTGCGATCACTAATTCATGATCCGACCCACATTCTGCTTCGCGATAAGACGTAACATTAATTATACCGCTTTGCCAGCTATGTTGTATCAAGACAGGATCAATTTGATTTCGTGTTTGTGAATCCAGTGATGTCCAAGTATATTTATGAATATCCTTATGTTTAAACGTAGTACTTTAAATATCAGGTTTTTTGAGATGGCAAAGTTTATCAGACGGATCCCATTATGATTACTATATTCGTGCAAACTTTCTATACCAATCGTCGTAAACTTCTTCCTTTCCTACCTTTGTGTTCGCGTCACCTACAATTATTTTCATGGAGTTCAGCGGCAGTTTATCATAAACCCATTCGAGTTTATCATAAAATTCACATTTGACTTCATCGTCAAAAGTTTATTAATGCGATTTTAAACCAACGTCCCTGAAATATAGCTACCGAAATTCTATCACTAAAGAATTGTACGTCCCTCAAAGCGGATAGCAATTTATTCCTAATTAGAAACCCGGTACCAAATTAGACCATTATTATTATAAGAGTATAAATGTTTTCTTTTAATTCCTTCAATAATAGCGTCCATATTGGACCTGACCACATCTAACCACCCATTAATCGAAATTAGGGTCGATTATTATGTTGGAGGGGGGGGGGAAGCGCTTATTATGAAAATACTGTAGAATTTGCGATTGGGCCCCCCAGCATCAACTTTTCGGATTTAATCGATATTAAGGTCGACGATTATGTTTTTGGGGGCACTTTTTACGAAAATACTGTCGAGTTTGCGATTGCACCCACCTCCCTTGGACTTTGTGTAACTTTTCGGATTTAATTGAAATCAGAGTCGACTATTATGTTTTCGAGGGCGCTTTTTATGAAAAATCAGTCGGATTTGAGATTGCGCCCTCCCCTTTGACTTTTTGGATTTAATTGATATCAGAGTCGACTATTATGTTATCAAGAGCGCTTTTTATGAAAAATCAGTCGGATTTGAGACTGCGCATCCCTCCCCCCTTTGACTTTTTGTAACTTTTCAGATTTAATCGATATCAAGGTCAGGTCAACTATTACGTTTCGAGGGGGCGCTTTTTATGAAAATACTGTCGGATTTGAGATTGCGCCCTCTCCCTTGCCTTTTTGTAACTATTCAGATTTAATCGATATCAGGGTCCTTTACCGTTACCGCATGTTCTTGATTACTTTTTCAAAATCAGCTTTTCATCAATTTTAGTTTAATTTTTTTTTTAATAAATTATTTTCTTCAACATTACATTTGAATAAGGCTGTGCCGTTTGCCGTAAGGTTCCTTTTACAAGTAAGGTTTATTTTTCCACTATAGTTTTCATAACTCTATATTTAATCAAGTTGTTATTAAGAAAAAGGGGGGAATCAAATATCTTAGAAGGACCATGCGAAATCTTTTGAAGGAGGTGGAAGGCAACACTAATGCACATGAAACGAGTGCCTTGGTAAGCTATATAATTAATTGCAATGGATTACAACATTTGATATATGAAAACCTTTAAACCTGAAACAGTATCTTAAAATATTTTGAACAGCATGTGTTGGTTGCTTTTACATCCAACTGATAGTGAGTTTTTAATAAATATATGTAGTTTTACCTCATATTTTATAAAAGTAGGTATATAAAACCATACGCGTATTTGAATGCAGCATTAAGCCGAAATATCAAGGCAATCGGTGAACAACTTTCTGAGATTTAAGATTTTGAACAAACGAACATTTTTCATTTTTATTTACCATAAAATAACCAAACAAAGTTGAACATTAAACAATACATTAAATTTAAAAAATATTAATAATAAAATTAAACATGAAAATAATGAGTGCCTTCGTGTAAAAGATAGATCTCTGTCATTTTCAGAAAGCAAAGAAAAAGTCCATTTTTGTTTATGGGTTCAATTTAAACTTTTTCAATTCAATTTAAACTGTTTCTTACGATTTTATTTAAGGATATTCAAGTTGAATCTGGGAAAAAAAATCATTAGAATTAGTTTAAATTGAAGCTTAATTACTTAATTAATGTTCCAAACAAATTTTTTTTCTCTACTGATTGGATGTAAAAGCAACACATGCTGTTTAAAATATTTTAAGATACCGTTTCAATGTTAAAGATTTTAAAAATTACAGATGTCCTTTGATATTAAGCCTCTCATATGAGTTTTCTATTTTCTTTTTTCCCCATTTTGCCATACTGAGACACTACAGCGTGTGGCTGGGTAAAGCTCGTATAGTATAAATTAAGGATAATATAGTATAATAATATAATATAGAATAAATTAAGGAGATAGTATAATGCAGAGATAATAAATATTAAGTAATAATGGAGTATAACTGATCTATGTGAAACGTGAGGTTAAAGACAACGAAAATGAATGAAAAATAAATTTCTTTAATGAGATTAAAGAAAATGAAAAATGAATTAAATTAAAGAGAAATAAGGAAGTTGTCACCGAAATGAAATAAAAATAAATAAATGTTTACTATTTCTTTTTTTTTACTGATCACTCCAACCATTCTTCTCTTCAATTATTCACTACAGTCAACAATCAATCCACAATTAATAAAACTATTTTACCAGAAAATTTATAAAATGCTATACAACTTAAGTTATCCTAGGTCAATGAGTTAACTTTGGTACACAAACTTTGTGTCGATACAGCTTACTTGGCTAAAGCGCTCTTGCTCAAACTCCACTGGCTTTAGCACCAGTGATGCGGATGAGAGAGTAGCATAGGGATCTCTTGGAGTCCTGCTTTTCCTTCTATAGTTTGTATATAGATAGCCTGATTGTATATAGGTATGAATGTGTTTTTAATTTACTTATCTTTAGGTTATTTTATTTTTTATTGTAAATAGTTTTTGATTATTATTTAGTTATTATTTTACTTTTGTTAATTTTATATTTTATGTATATATGGTGTGAATGTGTTCATATATCACTATAATTATTGTCCACATGACAGATTATTTTATATTTCATATTATTTAAGTAAATAAATAAAATTTTAAAAAATACAGAAAACTCGTAAAAATAGTTTATATATTCATAAAACAACTTATTATAAAAAAAAACAAAAAACAAATAGGAAATAATAATTTATTAGCAAACAATTGTAAGGCACTTACTTCTAAGAAGGAGTTCTTCCTGCTCTTGGTTTTTTTTATTCAAACTATTTTGAAAATCTTCAGGAACATCGGAGTTTTCATTCAAATACTGACTATGAAGCTTAAGTTGTTCTTTTAAAGCTTGTTTTATAACTGAACATTCTTCACAATACTTGTGATCTTTCTATCAAACAGAAAGAAATTATGTATCACAAATGCTATGTCTAGTGATAGAATAAAGATACAGAAAGTTTATTAGATAGTCGTAATGATATACTCTTTATATATATATATATATATACATATATCTTATAATGATATAATAATGAGGCAATTTAAAAAAATCCCAGACTCCAAAATAATATTTCTATCACATGGAGCATCACTACTTCAGTCCCTCAAGTCCAAATGGAAATCTGGACTCCACAATCTTGCAACATAAATGGAAAAACTCCAACTCCAATACAAAATAGTAATGCTCCAGTGGATACCAGAGCACTGTGGACTGCATGGAAATGAGGTAGACAACCTACTAACAAAGGTAGGAACAATATCTCCTCAATTAAATTCCACTCAGACTCTATAGAGAGGTGATCTCGTTAAACAAAACAGCTGTGCCCCAAAGGTAGAAGGATGTCCACTCACATCATAACCCTGATGATGGCTACTGTAAAATGAGAAGGAAAGAGCATGTTGTGCTCTGCAGACTCAGAACGGATCATATCAGGATGGGAACACACCTTTATAAAAAATTTAAAATCAGAGATAGTCCCCTATGTAGTTGTAGAAAACCACCAATGTAGTTGGGACCAAACCACATAGCAATTCTTCAGACATGCTCGTAGTGAGAGGACATCAGGAAGCAGATCTGACCAAACTCCAATGACAAGATGGCGAAGCTCAATGGTGGTCTGGGGATCTCAAGAAGACAGTACAGTTCATACTTTTAATCCAGGACCTTACCATTTAAGGGAAGATTGAAGAAGAATAAGATAGAAAATATCACTCATAAGGGGAGGTCACAATGAGTGGAGTGGTTCACTGATAAACTAAACTTGTGGTTATTTTACATACAAAAATATTGCACAAAAAAAAAATGTTTAAGGGATTTTATGAGCTCAGGCCTCTGAAAAGTGAAAAAAAAAAAGATTAGCTGCTTCAAGTAAAGTAGATCAAACATTTTTTTGAATTGTAAAACAAGTTAATATTTATTTTTAGCATCCAAAAAAATTTTAAATATTATTTTTCAAGGAAATGGAAAAATATACAAATTTTAAATCATAATCTTTTCCAACAATAATGAAAATCTTTCATAGCTGTAAAAGCATAGGATGGTAATTTATTTGGAAACATAAAACCAATTTCCATGCTGGAAACTTTAGAATTTTACTGGCTGCACAGTTTCGTGACCCTAAGCAACCTGGTAAACAATTCATTTACCTTACCGAAGACTTATATTTTAAGTATTTTTAATACTTGTAGAGTCGGGTCGAAACGTTGGCTTTTAATAAAATAGTTTTACCACTATTTAGCCTATTTATGACCGCCACCACGGACCGTCTCCTTCCTTTGTAAGTATTTTTAATTTGTCTGCAATTCTTTGAGGGCAGGTACCTATTTATTAGTAGTGATTTTACATCACTATAATTAACTACTAATTATTACTTATTAGATTTACTGTATATTCCGAACTGTTCCAACCATACAAAATCCCGAACTTATTCCTGAATTTCTCAAATGGTAAACATCCTACTCTAGTTAGTGTTTGTTCTTAATAATTTCATCAGTTTCCAAAATTCTAAGCTATTTCAGACATTTTCAAGTTTCTTTAAGATATCAATAAAATATTCCAATTTCTTTAAAAATGTTATTTTTCATTAGGATTTTTAAATTTTCCAGGTAATTTATTTTTAATATCGATTTTTCCATTAAAATCTTTTTTAATGTTTTCATACTGAGTTAAACCATATATTTTCTGGTGAAACATCATTATTAACTAGATATGTACGGGAGGTCATTAATTATGATCCTATCATACCATCAATCAGTTTCCATATGTGCTGCTAATGTTATTATTATTAAGAAATATTCTATTAGAGGAAGACATATGATTTTAAAATTTTGTGGCTTAAATTTGGTCCAATTTACCGTATGATTTTAAGGTTTTCTTCTTGATGATGGAGTGAATAATATTTCTAAATGATTTACTATATAATTAACAAGCTAAATGATGTTTCAAAAAATAATAAAACAGTTAAATAAAATTTATATTAATTCTATTATGGTTATGACATTATATCAGAAATGTACCTAGGCCCCCTGTTGCCTTGACACAGGCATTTAATCTCCATGGCCAGTCATCAATAGCAGCATGCAGCACTTCTTGAGGAAAGCGCTCAACTGCTCAGACCAGGGATTGTTTGAGGCTTTCCAAGTTAGGGTGTACTCTGTGGCATGGCATCCTCTCCAGTTTGGACCAAAGCCAATAATCTAGTAGGTTGAGATCAGGGCTTCCTGAGGGAAAATGCGAGGCAGAGATGAACTCTGGAATGTTCTTTTGCAGCTACTGCTGAGTTGACCTGCCATTCTGAGCTGGAGTGGAATTCTGCTGGAAAACCCGATGACTTCCAGCAAAAAGAGTATCATTTAGAGGCATGACAGCAGGTTCCAAAATATCGTCCTGATAGTTTTTAGGGGCTGTTTCAAGTTCTTTTTCACAAAACTAGAGCTTTGTAGTGCCATCAAATCAAACTCTCCACCAAACCATCACTGAGGAAGGGTGATGATCTCTTTCCACTCTTCCAATGACTTCCTGGACTTCTTTAGAGCTGTGTGTGTACAAATGATCTTTTTAGCGATTAAAGTTATCTTCAATTGTAAAAATTTTCTCATCGCTAAACAAATTCTTTCAATGAAGACCATTAGTGTAACGGCCAAGGAGCAATTTGCATCTATCCACTCTAATTTTTTTTAAGGAAGTGGTTAGCCATTGTTCGACTTTATCATTCTTCGAAATGCACCCATCCCAAGGTCACTTTTTATTATGTGAGACATTGATCTGACAGAGATTTCCATTTCCCCAGACATGATTTGTTGTTTTTGAATGGGATTTCTTCTGATTCCCTAACCACTGCTCTCACTTCATCTTTCCGTTCTCACAGTGCAAGGGCCCGGTCGAGGTCTGTTACATACAAATGGGGTCTTATTATATCTATTTATAGTGTGGTACACGAACATATGGTTGATATCTAAAGGTTTCAAGGTGTTGAAAATCTTTGACCTACAGTTTCCAACTTTGTGTAAGGCGATCACAGCTATTCGGTTTTCTTTATCACCCCACTCCATGTTAACTCAGCAAAAGAAAAATACAAACTAATTGGGATTATTATCCTGACATGTAAAGAAAATAACCTAATAGAGGTAAGGATTATCTAAATAATACCCAAAGATGTAAACAAAGTTCAACTTTTGCAACAGTATTTATGGCAGAACTAGGTATATGTAATTGCCAGGTTTATCTGCAATAGCTTGTCTGTTGCTTTGAAAGAAAGTAAAGACATCTATTGTTTGAGAAGTAATTTACTTTGTTACTTAATATTTGTGATGTAGTTAACACTCCACCAGGTACTAAACTGTTTGATGAATGACAATTGCAAATTGTTTTCTCAGGAAAAGGAAAAGTTTGTTGAGATTTGTTTTCCTCAATAAGTTTTGGATGCTTTCAGAAAAAAATATGAAGAAAAGTAAACAAAATACAATTAACATCACTTCATTCTCACCTATACCACCGCTTGTATTTATAATGAAATACTGTATAAATCATTTGATTCTGTACAATTAATTTAATTAGTAGTAGAAATAATAAATATTTTGTTTGTGAACTCAGTTTTAGATAATGCTTTAAATAAGTCTAATTAGTTTTATCTGTATGAATAATCGTAAATATAATTCAGCCAAATAAAATCGTCACTTGAAATTGTTAGGGATGTAAAACACAAATGTTATCTCTCATCTAAAAATAGCTAGTGCCTAGTGAAGTTATAGATGACTCTGGTGATTTTATAGAACAAAACTCATTAAAGTGCATTAAAATAAAAATAATTACATCTAAGACTTAAAAAATAAAGCATTTGATAGTAGGGAATGGATTCATATGGATTATAGACAGTATTATCATGCTTAAGAATACTCTATTGAATAAAAGGAAGCTTACTTCTGATCTTTCTTGTGCAATCAAACAATTATCACTGTTTTTGGCAATAAGAGTGCTTGAGTCCTCTTTTGTATCACAGTTCTCAATTGTTTCACTGGAATCACTTTCCATTTCTGAAACATACCAGGTACAGTACTATTGTATATACTACCAAAAGCAATAACTAATAAAAATAAAAACAATAAAAAATGAAAACGGAATTTTCATTAAACAATATTACTAGCTCACAAATTATTTATTACTTAATGAAGAGAAGAACAGTTGAATAGTCAGTCAAAAAGGAAGGCAAAAATAAATATTAACATTTATTTTTGCCTTCCTTTTTGACTGACCACCCCAATTATTCTTCTCTTCATTATCCACGACAGTCAACCAATTACCAATTATATATTTATTACTTAAATTAAGATAAATCCTGTGAGGCTTTTTTTTTTTATCAATTTAATATTTTAATATTTCATATTCACCTTTTATTAAATTTAATTCTTACTAATAGAGAATAACAGCATTGGAAAAAAACAAAACAAAGATGTGTGATAATAAATGAACAATTCTATTATTCTAAATGTCCTATGTTACTAACTTTAAATTACTATAACAGTGTGGGTGAAGTCAGACTTATCAGATCCTACTAGTTGGTGTACTATGTCATAGGTTATACTGTTTGTTTTCACTCTGAGTTGAGATATAGAAATATACCCTTTATTATAAATCTGTGTGATCTTATTTTACATAATAACCATAGATTACGGACCCAGGGTAAATGGGTAATATTCTGTTTAGTGTTGTGAACGATGATTTCTTAAAGAATTGTGAAAATTAATATCTACGGAAAACATGGCAGCTCTCAGTGAATTGGGGACCATAGCAAGATTTAACTGTAAGAACTACAAGCAATGGAGATTTCAAATAAAGTGTGCTCTAATGACAAAAGCTCTTTATAAAAATATTACGGATCATGCAGTGGGTAAAGACAATAAAGATGAATTCGCGAAGTGGGAAAAGGACAATACAATAGCTCTCTTTGTGATATCATCTACACCTGATTTTAATCAAATAAGATTCATTGAACATTGCAAATCGCCAAAAAAAGCTCTTGATAAATTGGATAAAATATATAAAATTAAGTCAGAGTTCACTAAGATGGTTTTGTTAGATTAATTTCATAACCTCAATAGGCAAGTGATTCAGTGATTATTTACATTAATGAAGTCGAAAATTTAGCGCACAAAATCAGAGAAGCAGATAAGGTTATTAGTAATGCTGCTGTAATAACTAAAATTTTAACAACACTTCCTTTAAAATATAAAAATTAGAGACAAGCCTGGTTATCAATGGATCCAAGTAGTCAAACTATTGATAACTTGAGATCTCGATTGATTGATGAAGAATCAAATCTTAATACATCGGAAGATAGCTCACTTTATGCATATAAACATAGGGTTTAAAATACCAATGAATCAAAAGACAAGACGAGAATTTGTTATAACTGCAGAAAACCAGGGCATATTGCAAGTAAGTGTTGGGCTAAGAGAACTCAAAATACAGACAAGAATAATAATTCTCATAACAATACTAAGTTTGACAGAAGACATGATAATGAAAAGACTGCTTTTGTTGTTTCTGAAGATAAGAGAAATATTGATGACAACTTATGGATACTGGATAGTGGTGCTTCAAGTCATATGAATGCTTCAAGTTACATGCAGAGTGGATTTTCTATCTAATTTTCAAGAAAATAATGTACATCAAGTAACGCTGGGAAATGATGATGTGCTGAAAGCAATGGGAAAAGGAAAAATAAACTTTCTTGTTTATATCTATGAAGAATGGAATGAAGAGACTGCAGATGAAGTATTATTTGTGCCAGAATTGCAAAGGAACTTATTATCTGAAAAAGTATTAGCTAAAAAAGGTATGGATATAACTTAAAAAAGAGGTTATGCCTATATTTATTTTAACTAACTATAAGAATAAGTTAGTTACAAATATCAATAACATATATTATCTAAATATGAAAGCAATTTCTGTACATAGTGAACTAAATAACAGTATGGAGGTGTGTCATAATAGATCAGGACAAATAAACAATAATTTTCTAAAGAGAGTTCCTGATATGGTGGCTGATGTAAAATTAAAAGATAAGAAAGATTATTTTTGTGAAAGTTGTGTTCAGAATAAATAATGCAAGTCATCATTTGGACGTTGTGAGAAGAAAGCCTGGTGAAAAACCTGGTGATATAGGAGGTTCCATGCCAGAGGAATCAGTGGAAGGATTCAGATATTTTATATTATTGAAAGATGACTTTTCTGGTTATAGATTTATTCGCTTTATTAAACATAAATCAGATACAATTGGTGAGTTACAAAAATTTATTATTCTGATGGAAAGACAAGAAAAAGGGATAAAACAATTACGAACTGACAATGTTTTAGAAATATGTACCAATGAATTTAAACAATTTCTAAATTATAGGGGTATAATACTGAAAACAATCGTGCCATATATTCCAGAACAAGCAGGAAGAATTGAAAGAGAAATGAGAACAATTGTGGAGAGTGCTCGTGCGATGCTATTTAATTCAAATATACCAAAATTTCTTTGGGCTGAGGCAGTAAACACCGCTGTATTTTTATTAAATAGAAGTCCTAACGGTATTGTTGGTACAACTCCTTATGAACAATGGTTTAACAGAAAACCATCACTTAGACATGCACAAATCTTCGGATGTGATGCTTATGCTCTGATTCCTTTAACATTTCGTAATAAATTATCTCAGAAAAATTAAAAATTAATTTTTGTTGGATATGAAGGTGACAGAAATTACAGATTATACAATGAAGGAATACAGAAAGTTATAGTGACAAGACATGCTGTTTTTAATGAATAAATTGATCAAGTAAGAATTGAGATGGAAGAGGACTCACAAATATCAAAAGAAGATAATGCAGAAAATAAAATTGAAGATGAAGAAAATAAAATTGAAGATAAAGAAAAAATAACAAGAAAACAACCTTAAAAATTCAAATTTTTTTTAGATTTAATTGAAATTACCAAAAGTATTCCAAAAACATGCGCAGAAGCTATGAAAACAGGATGGAAAGAGTCAATCGAAGAAACACTGAAATGTTTAGAAGATAACAAGACATGGGAAATTGTTAATATTCCTCAGGATAAAGAAGTCTTGTTTAGTAGCTAGAGGTTTTATGCAACATGATGATGGTGATTATTTCGCACCTGTTGCAAGAATGATGACAATCAGGATAATGTTAACTTTTTCGCTGGAGCAGAATCTAGAAATCGAATATTTTGATGTCAAATTTGCGAATTAATTTCTGAATGGCGAATTAAAAGACAAAGTGTTTATGTGAATTTCTGAAGGTATAAGTGTTCAAAATAGTGAAAATAAAAAAGGCATTATATGGTTTAAAACAATCTGCTAAATGTTGAAATCATAAATTTAGTGAATTTTTAATTAAATTAAATTATAAGAGATCTAAAGTTGGTGCACATTTGTTCTATAATAAAGAAAAAGGTTCATATATTGTTTTATATGTTGATGATGCTACATGTTTTTTAAAGAAAAAGTATAACTTAACTCATATTAAAAATTTATTGATGAGCAAATTTAAGATTAAAAATTGTCAAAAATTTAGATTTTTAGGAATTGATATTCAGAGAGAAAATAACCGTATAACTTTATGTCAAAAATCTTTAGTAAATAAAATTTTAGAAAGATTTGGTATGCTTGATTGTAAAACTTTAAGTTTATCCATTGAACCAAAATTACAATTAGAGGTTAATCAATGTGAGAATACAAATTAATATCCATATAAAGAGTTATTAGGTACCATAATGTATTTAATGTTAGAAATTAGACCAGACTTAAGTTATACAGTAAGCTATTTTTCAAAATTGTTACAGTTCTATTCATTGGAACATTTAAAAATGTATTAAGGTACATAAAAGGTACATGTAACTATTGTTTAATTCTTGAGAAGCATAATAATGTAAAAGTGGTAGAAGCATATGTCGATGCAGATTTTGCTAATGGTATTAGTGATCAAAAGAGTGTTACAGGTTTTGTCATTAAATTGTTTGGGAATAAAATTTTCTGGAAAACAAAGAAACAAAGTATAGTTAGTTTGTCAAGTTGTGAAGCGGAATATATATCTATGTGTGAATGTATTAAAGAAGTCAAATTTTTACTACAATTATTATATGAAAGTTTTAACCTGATGGTAAAACCTGTTATTTATGAAGACAATCAGTCATCTATTGGTATTGCTAAGAATTTAGAAACAAAAAGAAGTAAACATATAGATATTAAAATATGTAAATAGTAATGGGCAAATTGCAGATATTTGTACAAAACCATTAAAATTAAATAATTTTGGTTAAATTTTATAAAACCACTGTGTTTGTACGATAATAGAATTGAGGGAGAGTGTGTTAATAAATGAAAAATTCTATTACTCTAAATCTTCTATGTCATAATTACTATAGCAGTGTGGGTGAAGACTTGTCAGATCCAACTAGTTGGTGTACTGTGTCATAAGTTATAATGTTTGTTTTTACTCATAGTTGAGATATAGAAATATACCCTTTATTATTAATCTGTGTGATCTTATTTTACATAATAACCATAAGATGCACTCTGATTAATTAGAATTCAAGTTATATTATAAAGCACCATGGTAAGAAGATATTTTTAAGCTAATAAAACATAAAGAAAGAGAAGAAAACAAATGATAGATTCCTGAAGACTCCAGGAAAGAAAACTCAATCTTTTGTAGAAAATGAGTTGATGGAAATATGAAAAACTCAATAAAATTTTGTCAGTAAAGCAGAAAACTGAGCAAAATAATTTTAAAGGCCATATAATGTGAAATACTATTTTACCTTGAAAACCTCCTTCTCTCATTGAAAAAAAGTGAGAGAACTTGATTATAAGTTTATTTAGTAAAGAATAAACATAAGTATATAAACTGTAGGGCACAGGTATTTACAAGTCAAGGTGTCTACAAAAAATTTATTTATTTTTTGCAAGACTCAAATAGTACAAATAAATAAACAAATAAATGTTGACTGTAGAATATATGTTGAAGAGAAGTTGGTTGGTTCAAATTCTGTGTCTAGGAATGCCCATTTCATTGGGCAATTCCTACTACAGGTCGGAATGGAACAGAACGTTCCACCATTCGAATTTGTTCTAGTTCTTATTCTGATCCATCTTCATTTCGAACAACACTTGAAACAAGATAGAGAATAATGAAGATAAAGAGAGAGAAGTACAGAAAAAAGAAATGAACTGGACATTTTAAAAACATTGATGAAAGCCTGAGAGCAACATTCTCTGAAAGGGACACTGAATCAAAATCAATGATTAAATTAAACAGGTACTAAGTAAAAAGAATATTTTAGACAACATCTGGGATACTATTAAGTGCTGGTTTAGTCAACTACCCTAATTTTTACATCATTACCACAGAAATGTTGAGTATAGTCACCACTTCAGTTCCGTGCCAACGAATTTTTTCAAAAGCTGGCATGTTGACAAACGATCCTCAGATTCGACTATCAGCTGATAAAGTAAAAAAAATTCCTGATGTTTTTAAATTCCAATTTATAATAAATTTATATTTATATATGACAGGACGACATTGCTTTCCTTACCTATCTGTATTTTTCAATTCCTTTGAAAGAAAACTCAAATCCTTTTTTAATAAATATGGCAAGAAGTTTTTCAGAAATTGCGATTGGACAACTGGCAAGGTCATCAAAATATCCTAATCGGCAGACCACAACCCATATTAATAGTTTAAAAATAAAAAACCAGTGCCTTAAGGTGGGGCAACTGCCCCAAGGCACCACATGAAGAGGCGCCCGTTGAGAGCATCATTTGTTAAAAAAAAGTATTAAAATAATTAATTTCAACCTACCAATAAAGCAACTGTATTAGAAATATTAAATAAATAAAATTCAAATATTACATTATATAAAACAGCTTAAGAAATAAATTAAATTTTTTTAGGGGAGGGGAAAGATGATGTCACTGACCGGGGGCGCCGAATGTCTAAGACCAGCACTGTCAACAACCAAGCAAGAGCACCATTTACATAAAAAAAAAGTATATAATTTTGGCAATTAAAACATTATTACCTAAATTCAATATAAATTTCCAAAAAAAAAAAAAAATTGAACATGCAAAGCAAACATTTAAAAAAATAAATATACTAATATTTCTATTCACACTTATAATTATTATTAAAAAAAAAAATAGTCATAGATTTACCTTTTAATTCAGTTAATTCTGAATCAACAAAGTTGTTGCTTTCTTTACATCCACCATTCAAAGCACCTTTTTCGTTTTTATGATACTAAAAATATTAAACAAACATAAGTCCAAAATTACTACTAATAAACTAAAATAATTGAGATACCACTTACTGAAAATGAATCAGAACTTTCTTGCAAATCCGTTTCTATCATATTAGCTTCAAAGTTTTTTAACGAAAGACCATCTAAACTATCACCTTCGTTAATTTCAATTCCTTCTAGAAAAAAAAGTAAAACTTACAAAATGACTACAACTACTATGAAAACAACAAATTAGAGTATTTAGGTTGAAAAATATTATTGGGAAACATCACATAGGATTTATGGAAATTAAATCAGTGTATGTCCATATTTGTGAGTATAAATTGAAATATTGAAGGAAGTTAGTCGACTGTTCTATATATCATGGGTGATAAATATTCAGGATGCAGCCTTTTTTTAAAAAAAAAAATTAATTTTTTATTTATGCCAACGTTTCAACCCAAACATGTGGGTCATCAGAGATATAATATTATACGACCGATAATGGTAAATAATAAACTATAGTGATTGATGGTACATGAATCTTAACTAATATTGCAATACACATATTACAAATAAAATATGTAAATAGTTATACAAACTAAAAATTAAAAAAATAATGTATATAATCCATTTATACAAATTTGTAATATTTTCTCTTACTAACCGTGGTTTGAGCACTGAGGGTGTTCAAGTACTGACACATTTGGTAGATAAGGTCAGGAGGGGAGGATTTCCCAGTTGTCCTTTTTCAGATAGCAAAAGGAAGGTAAACATAGTCAGAGGGGAAAGGAGGTAACATTTCTGTTTGTACAATGTAAATAATTTGCTGACTAAATATTTCAGATGTGTACAATATTTGCATTGTTTCTTATGGTCGACTAACTTTCTTCAATAATTCATATATCAATATCCTTTGGAAGATTTACACACATTACAATTAGAGTTTTTAATAACATATTATAATTAAATTAGATATATTTTTTATACCCGAATCCTGAAAATGACCATGGCAATCAATGTATTAAATATATATCAATTAAATCATGTATGAAATATAATAATACTACATTTTTACTGTTTTTTTTTAATTATTATTATTTAATGCTGATTAAGGAAACATTAATGACAATCACTGATTTTAATTACTGATCACCATAATAGAAACATCACTAAAAATGATAAAAAATATCCAAAAAAATTAAAGATTTTAGTAAATAATAAATAAATGAGAATTAAATAAAATTAAATCAGTGGGTAATGCCTGTATATTTGAATGTAGTATTAATAAATATAGAACTAAATTTATGAGAAAGTATAATCTTTTACTTAAAAATATTTAAAATAAATGCAAAAACTAAAAATCTTATTTACATCCTCACCTAAATCAGCAGAAGGAAAATTACTTAATACTTTAAGCTGTAATTCATAAGCCATAGCTTTTTCATTGGCAATATTTTCAGCTGTTCGAAGATCAGTCAATTGTTTTTCTAAACTCTCTTCAGCAGCATGTCTTACTGCTAGCATTTTTTCTAATTCTTTATTTCTACTTTCCAGCCTTTCAATAGTCTTAACTTGCTTAGTTTCTAACTCCTGAAAAATAGTATATTAACTATATTCTAATACAGAGTTTTTACTCAAGGAACAAATCAAAAAAAAAAAAAATGTTTTGAAATATAGGACAAAGTATATAAAGTTGTTAAGAACTTGTGGTTACCCTAGATTGCTATATTATGTTACAGAAAAAGATTCAATGCAGAAAAGGGAGACATTTTTTTGCAAGATCACCCACTTCTACTAATTTAGAAGACTGAATAATAAGTACTAAAACGGATTTGGCTATTGACATGGTTGACAACTTCAAGTGGGCGGGGTAGCCGAATGGGCTCAAGCGTGTGCACTGCACCGCCGTTGCCTGGCAACCTGACATATGAATCGAAGATAAAAATAGTCACGAGTTCGCGTCCCGGTGCCGGGGGAGTCTTTTAAATCCCCGCTCACACTCCCTGGCCCGGGAAAATCCCGTATAGCCTTAACGGCGAGGAAGGGAAGGACCCAAAAAAAAAAAAAAAAAAAAAAAAAAAAGGTTGACAACTTCAATAACAAATTCAATTATGGTAATTGATAGATAATAATTAGCAATGAAATTGAATACAAAAATGCTAATTATCATTAGGAAAAGATAAAAAACAAATGGTTGTTGGGTAACGAATCGCCAAGGAAAAGTAGAGACCATCCCTTTGATGGCATTAACATTACTGGATCAATAAATAATTTTCAATAACTTGAAAAAAAATCTTTTTTTATAATAGATTGTGAATTATAACTAAACAGGAAAATAAAACAAAAATATAATGTAGGTCAGATTAATGATTAATAAAATTTAAAACATACTTGAATTTTAGCTTCTGCGTCAGCATTTTTCGCAAGTTGAATACTTAACTTGTGAGCTAATTCTTGAATATGAGCATGGCTTTTTGTCATTTCATCAGTTAGACTAGAATACGCTGCTTCAACATTAACAAGAGACCTGAAATAATAATAAGCAAGAATGCTGAATAAAATTGGAAAGATAACACATAATACCTTATAGTAAGAACAAAATAAATGAAATAATAATAATTTTCATTTTGTTGTAGTTGGAATTGTCACAAACTCTCCAGTTGTGAAACTAATACCAGTTTCTTGACTGATAATATCATTGTTAATGCCATTTATTTATTTTATTTTTACTTTTAACAATAGTTTAATTAATTATTGATTTGGTTTATTTAATCAAAATGAAATCAATTAATAATTACATATGTAAATTTATGTATAATATATGTGTATATTAAGAATTATAGTCCATAGCTTATATTGTCTATATTAAATAGGTCAATGGTTTATACTTAAGCTACTTGATATGGATTGTAGAACTAGCTATAAACAAGTCCTAGGTCCAAGTCCTAAGTCCATAGACTTCACAATTCATAGTCTGACTCTGTCAGTCACAGAGCTCAGTGCTGTCAACTGTTACACTGCCCACTGCAGTCCACCTACTTCTTTGGTTTGGTCGTGCTCGCCGCTGCCTACTTGCAGTTTGATCGTATGAGCGCTCACGGAAAATCTACATTTGGTCGCTGCATAGGGATTGGAGTGCCAGCGGTTTGTCCACCATTACGAACGTCCTGCTTTGCGTCCACATAATTTTGTGCACCTTTTGTTATTTTGTTCTATATAAATTTTATTTTGGGACTCTCGAGATGTTTGCTTAGTGTTTCTATTTTTATTGTAATTTTGGGCCATATACATAGTTTCTTTATTTGATTTCCATGATCAAGCATAGAAATATTTTATTAAATATTTCATAATTGTTTTATCAGCATTACTCAGCTTATCTTTATTTTCATTCTAGAAGTTGTTTCTATTTAATGAGTGTAAAATTGATTTCTTTTTTTTATGTTTTCATTATCAATTTGCGTAAATGTTTCAAAATACAGTCCACTTTTTTTTTTGTTAAATCACAATCAACTTAATTTAAATAATAGTTAGGCTTCAATCGAAGTTTGACCTAAACTAAGAGGGAGCTTAACAATCATGTTGATATCTTTTTAAATTGGTTAAAATATAGAACTGAAAAATGATTAATATAAAATGTGATATAACTTTCATTAACTTATTTTTTCTTTTGCTCTTGTGCCTTTCAGAATTGAGCATCAGCTTCCATTTACTTCATCCACTCAATCCTATCTTCGACCATTTGAACCCATGTCTTTCCACTCATTTTCCCTAATCCTTCTAGGTGCTTCATATGTCATCCTGGGTTGTCCGCCACGTCTTATCCTTCAGGTTTTGCCTCCATGTATCATTTTGTCTTGAAGGAATCTGACATTCTCCATACATGTCCAAGCCACCTGAGTTGACACTATTTTTTTTTCTTATACTGCTGTAACCTTTCTTGACATCTTTTTTAAAGGAGAATGATTCGGGTTCTCTTCCACTAAAGCAGACCACTCCAACAATATTTCATTTTGTGCAATGTAATTATGTAAATACAAAAAAATTGATTTTCTTAATTTTTTATTATTTTAGTTTGAAATTCATCAATTTAATGCAGTGTACACTTGAATATTTTATCAAATATAAATATGTAATTAATTTGAATAAGTTTTTTAATTTTACTTGGTATTTGATATATTTTTATTTATACAATGTCCGTACATAAATATTTTGAAATTGGTTTATGTTTTTTGTCTTAGTTTATAGTAGGACACTGAATAAGTTCTTGCTGTCTTATGAAAATTAATACTTCATTTAAAATAAGCGGAAAAAAATGCCACATCACTTAAAGTATTGCCCATCACTAGCCACTACTTTTTCTCAACTTTCAGGCAGCACATGAACTCCATGTCAGAAAAAGAACTCGTCTTTTAAGGCTATCTAAGAATCTACTCATTGTTTGGTATCCATTTTGGAATACAGTGGGTGGAGTAGGACTTCCCATTTCAGGATTTCCAGATAGATTTTTACCGACTATGCATTTTTCCTTTAGGTTTGAACTCAAAACAAAATTTTGAAGCACAAGAGTGAAATTTTTTATCTCCAAGAAATTGTAATTTTTTTTAAGCACTGAAACCAGTATCTACATGTCTTTTCCGACAGAGCATGCTCACTGTAGGTCTAAACAAGTATTCTGTGTGCTTCAGCTGCACATTTCTTTTCAATAAAATAGTGCAATAAAATTCCCTGCAAAACCCCAAAACTTGACATTTTTAGAACAATGAAAAATAATGTAGTTTACACTGTGGCAAATTAAGAAACACTGAAGTCCAAGATAACCAACAGGAGAGGAAATAATTGTGAAAACTCAGCATTTAAATCATTTAAATGAGGATAAGACCTAGCTAATATTAAAGATCATTAACAAAATCTTTAGAGCTACTTCTGAGAAAATTGTAAACAAGTATAAAATAACCCTTCTGGTAGGTCAATATTAGACAGAACAGCTGTTATAATATCTCAGTCATAAATATATATATATATTTATATTTTTTTTTTTTCCGGTTGGCTCTACAGACCTTGTAGGTCTTTGGCCGCCTGAACCAGTCTTCTCCACCTCTGCCTGTCTTGGGCTACTGCTTTTCAGTTTGCGGCATGAAGCTCAGCTGTATCTTTGTTAATCCTATCTATAAATCTGGTTTTTGGCCTCCCAAGAGGTCTCTTGCCTACTACTTTGGTATTCATTGTCGTATAGAGGGGTCCTGATGGATTACTACAAGCTATATGCCCTGCCCATCTTAACCTCCTTGCCTTCATGTCATGAGATATTGACTGACCCGTTTCTTTCAGCAGTTCTTTATTGTTCCTTCTCCTCCATGTGTCAAGGTTCAGGTCCCATATAGGTCCTGTTATCCTACGTAGAACTTTTCTTTCGAATCTCTCAATTCTGGCTTCTAATGTGCCGGTTAGAGTCCAGGTTTCACAATCGTACAGCAGAACTGGCTTAATAACGGCGTTGTACACCCTTATTTTGAGATTTCTCGAGATTTTTCTGAATTTCAGTACCTTCGAAAGAGAGAAGAAAGATCTGTTCGCACTTGTTATTCGCTGGTATATCTCTGTTAGTTGATTATTTATTGAGGTTATTGTGGAGCCAAGGTATTTGAATCTGTCTACTTTCGGTAATGACTTAGAATCCAAGCAGATCATGTTATTAGGGTGGATGTTTCGGCTAACAATAATGTATTTTGTTTTATCTACATTGACCTGTAGTCCGATTTGCTCTGCTTCTTTTAATAGAGTCCGAGCGAGTCTTTCAATATCCTCTTGATTACTTCCGAGGACAGCTATATCATCGGCATATGCTAGGATTTTATGTTTCATTCCAACGTGCACCCTTCCATCTTCGCGTGATGTTTCTCTAGTGCTAAGTTTAACAGCATCGGCGAAAGTCCATCTCCCTGCCTCAAACCCATTTGAACTTCAAAGGCTTCAGATACGTCTCCTTATATTATTACCCTGCATTTAGGATCATTTGTACACGCCTCCGTCAACCTCACTAATTTCCCGGGAACACCCAGCTCAGTCATGATCTTCCAGAGACAGTTTCTGTCAACGGAGTCATAGGCTAATTGAAGTCGACAAATAATGCGTGTACGTCCTGATCTAATTCCCATCGTTTTTCAAGTACTTGTTTCAGGATGAATATCTGGTCTAGCGTACTCCTCCCTCTCCTGAATCCTGTTTGATGGTCGCCTATAATGTTTTCATAATACAGATATATCCAATTTAGCAGAATATTAGTCATTATTTTATAGGCGACCGGAAGAAGCATGGTATAAAATAGTAGTGATATAGTAGGGAATAAATAAATCTAAATTTAAACATTGATATCTTTCTCTAAGCCTGATAACCTACTGATTTATCTGGCACCATCTCTGTCCAAGCAAGGCACCTTGAAATGAGAACTTCAAAAATCCTATTCTGTTGTATTAAATATGAAATTCTGACAACAAAGTATTGTTATTGGTAATTAAAAAATCTGAAGCTTATTTATAGACTAGCAGTCTACAAAGTGTTAACACAAGAGGAATATTGAGGCAAAATGTTTGATTTTTATTTAGAGTTAGTAATTTTGATTTACTACTAATTTGCAATTTTGATTTATTAATTGCATGAAGTAAAAACTTCTAAAAAAGATAAATTGTATGAGAAATAAATGTTTGAAAGCTATTTATTGATGTAAACATATGAATTTTATATGAAATGTATAGCAAGGTGAAGTATTGCAAATGTGATAAAAATTCAAATCTGAGTTTTCAACTGAAATAGAAATACACAACACAAACAACCAAGTCTCATAAAATGGTCTGTTATGTAAACAGCTCAGATAAAAAATAAAAGTCATACATAACCAAAGATGTATTTTATATATATATATATATATATATATATATATATATATATATATATATATATATATACTCCAAAACATGACATAAAATTAGTCATGAGAGACTTCAATGCCAAGGTAGATCGAGAAACCAAATTTAAGTCCATCATTGGAGGCCAAAGTTCCCACGAAACTAGCAATGACAATGGAGTGAGATGCATTAATCTGGCTGCAGCTTAAGGTCTAGTAGTAAGCAGTACGATGTTCCTGCACAAGGGACATACATAAGTATACCTAGGTAAGTCCTAAAGGAGCAAAAAGCCAAATCGACCATGTGCTGATAGACAAGAGGCATCAAAGCTCCATACAAGACATAAGGAGTTATCGTGGAGCAGACTGTGATTCGGACCATACTCTGATTAGAATCAAACTCTGTCAGAGGCTGAAGCAAATCCACTGAATTGGGAACCAAGTGGAAAGATAGAGGTACGAAGTCCGTAATTTGAAAAACCCTATGGTACAAGCCGAATTCCAAATTGAGCTGAAAAATAAATTCGAACCCTTGAACTTGGAAGGTCTCACGGTGGACCAACACTGGGAAGAACTAGAGTCAAGGCTAAAACAAACAGCTAAGGAGGTAATAGGGATTCAGGAAAAAAAGATAAGCCAAGAAATGGTTCACAGAAGCATGCTAAAAGGCAGTGGAGGAAAGAAGTAAAGTAAGAAGAAAAGTCCTCTGCTTACAAACTGATCAAGCTATGCTGGACAAATACACAGCTGCCAGGAAAAAGACAAACAAAATAATACCTCAAAGAAAGATTACAAACTATTGAGGAAAACTGGCAGGCTGGAAATATATGCGAATTCTTCGCGGATATCAGGAAAGAAAGGGTAGGATATAAAGAGAGAAATACACAAATGCGAGGGAAAGATGGCAAATTGACGGCATCAAAAGAAAAGATCCTAAGCATCTGGAAGGAACACTTCCAGCAGCTCCTTAATCAAGGGAACCCTACAAACGAAGAAGAAGACATGGACCACACTGAGGACATCGACTCACTTGAGGTTGAAAAACTAGATATTCTGGATGTGGAAATGGCTATTGGCAGGCTTAAAAGAAGAAAGGCTCGAGGGATAGATAACCTACCATCAGAATTGTTCAAGGATGGGGGAGAAGAACTTAGAGCCAAGCGGTTAAGATCTAATCCAGAAGATATGGGGGAAGGAACGGATACCAGAAGCATGGAACACAGGATTGATCTGTACTATCCTTAAGAAGGGCTCCATGTATGAATGTGGCAATTACAATGCGGCAATTACTACAATGTGTTAACACTTTGTAGACTGCTAGCCTATAAATAAGCTTCAGATTTTTTAATTACCAATAACAATACTTTGTTGTCAGAATTTCATATTTAATACAACAGAATAGGATTTTTGAAGTTCTCATTGCAAGGTGCCTTGCTTGGACAGAGATGGTGCCAGATAAATCAGTAGGTTATCAGGCTTAGAGAAAGGTATCAATGTTTAAATTTAGATTTATTTATTCCCTACTATATCTAGAAAGTAAGATAATCACATTTACCCTGATAAAATCCCCAACCAAATCAGTAAAATGAAAGCTAAAAATATTTTAAACTGACTGTGCATTTAGAGAGTTAGTAATAATACTTAATGTTTTATTTTACATTTTTGCTCTTAAATAGTTGTCACTACATTGCTGTAGAATATTGCTGTTGTTAAAAATTTCATGGAAACAAATGCAGATAAGACTAAATAAAAAGAAAGGTAAAATGAAACAGTATAATAAAATATACACGATTAGATACATATGTTTACAAATAAAAGTACAGCTCGTTTTTCTTTAGAAAAAAAAGAAGGAAAACTTTACCAAGTTTTCACTAAACCATCTTCACAACAAAACACTCAATCTGCCCTCATCAAAATTTCCCAAGACATTCATACAGACATGGACCAGCAGAAACTCACCATTCTGATTCTCCTTGACTTCTCCAAAGTCTTTGACTCAGAAGACCACAAAATTCTCCTAACCAAGCTTAAAAATATCTCCTTTTCAACTAGTACTCTTAATTGGTTCCAATCCTTCCTTACCGGCCACTCCCAATATGTTGTAGTCCCCAATAACCCCCCATCAGAATCTTTATCCTTGTTCAGATGTGTCCCACAAAGCTCCTCCTTATCTCCCACCCTTTTTTCCATCTACATCAATGACCTTCCATAATCTATCCTACACTGTCAAAACCATCTGTATGCCCACGATGTCCAGATTTACCTCTCCTTCAATACGACCGAATCCAAAAATCTAAAATTACAGGAAGATATAAACGGAATTTGAGCCTGGGCAAACCACAATAGATACCAAAATTACTCTCAACTCAGAGAAGATGAAAGCCATCCTGATCAGAACTCCCTCACTCCTCAAATCCTTACAGACACTCTCCAATCTTTTCCTGAACAACTCACCTATCTCATTACATACTTCTGTAAAAAACCTTGGTGTTACCTTTGATCAAACCCTCTCCTGGAAACCACACATCTCCCAAATTTCCTGTCGTACTATCTCTACCCTGAAACAGTTTAACCGTCTCCGCTAACTCCTTCCATATAAATCCCGACAACTCCTGGTTGCCTCCCTTGTGTTCCCCCACTTCGACTATGGCTGTCTGGTGTACGGCGGACTCTCGGGAGACTTCGAAGCCAAACTTAAACGCCTAATGAACTGTGCAATACATTTTGTTTTCGGAATCTCAAGAGATACGCATATAACCCAGTATTAAACCAAGTTGAAGTGGCTCTATCCATCCAACCGCTGTCTGTACTTCCTTGCCACCTTTCTATACCAAGCCACCTTCCTATATTTTTCACACCCTACAATTTAAATATTACATTCAATCCCGTCCCACTAGATCCCGTACTTACACCTCCTCACTGAACTGCTGTGTTTGACAAATCCTTTATAATTCTCCATCTGGAATACCATCCCTCCCGATATCTGACATGCACAATCAGTGTCCTCATTTAAATCTTTCCTTTTTAAGCACCTACTTCTTTACCCAACCCGATTGATCATGAAAAGTAGATAAGAGAACTTTTTATGTCCTCCCAGAAATGATTTTGTTTACTTATGTTATTTTATTTCCACATGTTTGTATTATATATATCTGTATGTATTTAGTGTTTTTGTTTTATTTTTCTTCCAATATTTTAATTTTAATGAGAATTGTAAATATTTAATTTAATTTTATGGCCACATGGCCTCCTTCCTCTGTATCAATAATTTGTCCTAAAGGGACAACAGTCCCAGGATAATAAAAATCTATTTTCATTTTATTTCATTTCAACACCAGAAGGTTTAGCAATAATAAAATAGACCAATATTCTATAAATGTTGACAATAATTTATATATTCAATAATTAACCATTTAAATATTAATATATGATTAACAAAAATAATCAATTAATCACACAATATGACATAATAAAAGGTTACACACATTGTTACTATAGCAGTGCTACTACAAGTGTAAAAAACTAGTAATTTTGTGGACACAACTTTTACAGAAGTCCTCAAAATTTATTTTTCTCTTATAATACATTTATGAAATACTAAAGATTGATCACCAAAAACAATAAATTAATTATTATATTGAATTCTCAAAGTTTTATATTTAAAGAACAGGTGAAGTCTGGACAGGTAGTACTTGTCATTGTACAATTTAAATTAATGTGACTAAAAAACAGAATAATCTTTTTTTTCTTTCTTTTTTCATCAGTTCATAAATTAATAATGGAAATGTATGTTCTACGTTAATAGTAACATATTTAATGGATCACAAATAGTAAAAGATATTAAAAAAATGATAAGGTCTGAATTTGTTCTTCTGTTCAATAAAAAATGTTCTATACAAATTTAGCATAAGAGCACTTGGAAAAGAGTTACAGTGACCATCTTGGATTTGTGGCATCATAAAAACTAAACTGTATATAATTTGAATAAAACATCCGGTGCTAACAAAATAAATGTATTAAGACTCAAGATAAAAATGAGAAATATGAAATTGTTGAAGGAGGAGTGTTAATTCAGAAAGATTTCTCAACTTTAGAATCACTTTTATAATGGATGAATTAAATGGAATAGAAAACTCTGTTTACTAAAGAACTGTTTCATAAGTCACGAATTTATTGAAGAAACCAGAGCCCAGTAACAGATAAGAGTTCGATAAGAGTTGTGAAGATTGAGAGAGAATAGTGTTTCAAAGGTACCATATAAGTAAGTATGCACTTGTATGAACGTGAAAAATATAAAATGAGCACTAAAATTAATATTAACCTTTTAACTTCTTGACATTTCTGAACAGCTTCTAGTTTTTCATCCAGAACTTTTTTTAGAAACTCTTTAGCAGTACATTGATATTGATTTTTTTCCTCTTGTAATTTGACCAATTCTTCTTTGAGCTTTTCTTCACCAAAATTCTACAAAAACAAAACATACATTTCAATTAAAAGTCTGTATCCTAAAATCTACATTCTAATTCATTAAAATTACTAATCTAATCAAAACATTAAAGTACTGAACTTAAACTATGAATGGCAGTAAGCAATTGCAAAATTTCGAGAGAATAATTGTTTAGTTATTAATTGTTTGTATTGTATTTGTAATAACTTACTCAAGTTATTTATTGTAGCCGTGTAAACTTAACATTAATAAATAGGTATAGAGATGGTCAATTCCGACTACAGGTTAGAACGGAATGTTTCACCACTGGTATTCGTTCCAGTTCTTGTTACGTTCCATCAATGTTCCGAACCACACTTGAAACGCGATAGAGAATAACGAAGCATAAGCAAGAATAATGTTGTTTTTAAATTCTAACTTTTTAATTAATTTATATTAAGTTTTTACTGTTTTGGTTTTTTAATTCATTCTAAACTTTATATTATAGATTTTTTGTTTTTATCTTTATTTTTTGGTTGGTAAAATTCATATATTTGTCTTAATTTTCCTTAAATACTCTCTTCCCCCAAGTAACTGAAAATTATTAATCAATAACAATCCATTTCTGTTTTCAAATTACCTTTCTTTATTATATACACAATTTAATTAATTTAAGACTTACTAATTTAAACTAGAAATAACAACACATGTAGACACTTTAATCCGTATCATAATCATTCCAAATGGATGCTAGAATGAAATCTCCGATTGGAATGAAAACACAATGTAATGGAACGTAAAAGCGTTCATATTCCGATGGAATGAGATTCCAAAGCCCCTCGGAACGAGAAAGACTGTTCCAGGTGGAACCATTCTGAATCCTTCCAGGGTGGAATTCAAGACCACTCAGAATGAGAAACACTGTTCCTGATGGAACCATTCCGAAATGTTCCAAAGGTGGAATGGTTTCATCGAATTTTTATTATGGCTAACAAGACTGTTAGTTCTGTTTCTTCTTCGCTTTGCCGTTGGAATATGACTTACGAATAGATTAAAAATAAAATAATAATAATATAATATAATATAAAAAATATAATATAAGGCTCAGCGAACCCAAAGGTTCGATGCCGACATCACCAATCGCTCATTACACACCTCCCTCCACCGTTCGCTAACGGTTCGAGTACTGCCCATCTCTACCGGATACATTGGGGGGGAAATATAAATTTTAATTTATAGAGGGTATAATAGTATTGACTTACATAAAGAGAATCATATCACTTCTTCAAATGAAAATCTCAATTACTTCAGTAATTATAAAATTTTCAATTAATCAATAACCTCGTGCGAGCTCATTACTGCATATGGGGAGCGTCCCACGAGTGGGGGATGTGGAAGGTTATTGCAAGATTTTTGATAGAGGGACAAAATTTGATGGGATTATCATGTAGGAAAAGAGTTGGAATGTGTGGAACAGTTTTAAGGAGGTGATTGGAGCCAAATAAGATTGCCTTTGTTTTTTCCGCATTCAACTTCAACTTGTTGGCTCTCGCCCAGTCACAAATCTTATCCAAGTCTTCTTGAAGTTTTTCTGTGGCTGATAATCGGTCGGAGGGCGGGAAGGACAGATATATTTGGAAATCATCAGCATAGAGACGGTATTGGGAGTGACGGATCAGGAGAGGAAGGTCATTAATGTAAATAGCAAACAGAGAAGGAGATAGAGAGGAACCTTGAGGGACACCACAGGAGTTGGGGAGGGTCTTAGATGGGAGTTGGCCTGGGACGACTACATACTGGGACCGATTTGAAAGGAAGGATTTGAACCAACGCAGAACACTGTTGGATAGAGGAAGGTTGTGCAATTTCGTAAGGAGGATGTTATGGTCAACAGTTTCGAACCCTTTGGAAAAATCTAGAAGGATGAGGATGGTAAGGTTTTGGTGTTCAATGGAATTTTGAAGGTCATGGGTTATTTTAAGGAGAGCGGATTGAGTTGAGTAGCCAGGTCGAAAGCCAGATTGGAATGGATTGATAAGGGAACGTTCTTCTAGGAAGTTGAAAAAATGAATACATACATAAAAAGTTATGATTTCAGATTATACAGCAAAAAATAAATTAATATAAACTTATAATAAATAAATATATATGTATATGTATATGTATGTGTGTGTGTATTAGAAACGAAAACAATTTTTTGGAAAAGTGACTTATTTTTGATCATCAAATCCCTTCAACAACTTCAATAAAATTCTAGAGGTTTATCAAGATGCAGTATAGTTTCAGAGGAACTAATAGGGGTGGTTTATGTTTATGTCTATGTTTTAAAGTCAAAAAATGTCCCATTTTCGAGATGTCATAATTCTTGCCGAATACCTCTTAAGTGCTATGGTTGAACCATGAATAAGTTCTCGCTATTCCTTAACAGATAGCAAAGCAGCCCTGTTCTTTTTCGTAGTTTTAAAATGTCAAGATTTGTGCCAAGTATAAAGTATTTGTAGATAATTTTAATTGGACTATTCAATTCAAAAGAAGTGTGCAGCTAAAGCACACAGAATCCTTATTGAGACTGTACTGAGGATGTTCTGTAAAAAATTACTTGCATCAACGCTTAAAAAAAAATTATTTTATTCTTGGAGATAAAGAATGCTCTGGAGCACTGAAAAGTTTGAAGGGGAAGAATTGGATAAATAATAAATGAAGACCCATGTCAGGCACTAGTTGAATTTGGAAAATCATTACTAGTAGATGACATCTATTTTTTAATATGTTAATCAATTTGACGAAGGTATAGTAAAGTCAGTTATCAACTTATCATTAGTATCCAAGATCAATACCTGATTCAATTAAAAGAAACATTTACAAGTTAAAGATAATGAAATAACAACAGAAAATATTTTTGAAGTAAACAAAAATAAAAATCCAAAGACTCAAGCACTGTAAAATTAATTAAAATGCTTTTAAAGTGATATGAACATTTATTTTATTTAGGTCTATTAATTATTGTTCTAAAGTGTGACATTGGCCAGAAAAAAATATTGTAGCATAAAAAATAACCTTACATAATTTAACTGAAAAATAAAGATAGTCCACAAGAAAAAAAATGAAATTACCTTTGAATAAGCTTGAAGCTGATTTTCTAAAGTTTCAACACGGGTCAGAAGTCTGTCCTCAGCTATAAGTGCTTTCCAACCTTGATCAGCAGCTTCTTTAATGCTATTCAAGACTTCTTGAAGGGCAAATAGTTTTGTTTCTAGCATGTGTTCCCGTTGTGATGCTTCCTAAATATTTTATTAAACAAGTTAAAAAGTATTATATTTAGGACATAGATATTACAGAATTCTTTAATGTTATAGCACTCAAAATATAATATGTATGAGCTTTTGACCATAGAAGTTTTAATTTTACTGTTAGAGTTAGTTGACCACATGGTATTAATATAAATTCCGAGAGATGATAGTAGGAATATTAATATTTTTGAGATATTTTGGATCAATGGAGGGGCTGTACTATTAAGGCATTTTCTCTGAGGAAAGTGGTTGACAACTGCTTTTCATTGGAAGAAAGCTAAGATTCTTTAGAGGAAGATTAAGTTGCACAAGTCATAACAAGATTAAAAATACACCAAGCAGCAAGCAGAGATAGTATAGCAGAACAGAATATTCTAAAAGTAAAGAATTCACAAGCATATTTATTAAGAATTATTTATAACAATGCTGAAGAATTCAGAAGGATTAAAGGAAAGGAATCTAGAGAAATTTGTCTGGATAGTGGAGTCAGACAGGAGACAGCCTCGGCATTCTCTTATTTATCATTCCCATGGACGAGATCAACTATAACAAGATCAATCAGGACCACCAATAGAAAATTCTTACCATTTTCTTGAAGAGGTTTCAAACTGATTATTTGCTGATGATATAATCTTAACTATAGAATCAAAAGAAAAGTTTCATCAAGCTCTGTTAAGGAGGAGCAGGTATTGTTCTTGTTCTTTCATCATGGAAATAAAACATGTAGTTTTTCTTTAATGGGGAAATGTTGGAAACAGAAAAAAATTATAATTACCTAGATGCCATTATACACTAATTAAATAGGATTGCAAAATGAATAACAAATAGAATCTCAAAGGAAAACATAGTCTACCATCAAATCCGTAGTGCGCAGTTTGTCACCAGGAGGTTGAAAAAGATGTTATGGTACACATTTATAAATCAATATACCTCCCAATTTCTATTGACAACAGTGAGAGATGGGAGATGTCAGGAATTTCAGCCTGTTTGTTCAAGAATTTCAGCCAAACTACTGGTAATAAAATGATATATTTATGTGGAGAAACAGAATCTGAAAGAACAACTTGAAGTTCCAGGTTAATGGGCTCAATACTCCTAGAACATCTGAATTCGGTACAAGACATGATACAACACAGAATGGTATACTATACACTTATTCAGACATGAGATCACATATGTTTAGTACTTATCTTAGCCTACCTCCACTGTAGACAGTGAAGTTTGGGATATAGCCTAACCAACACCTGTCTAATTCAATAAATATTAACAAAAATTTAAAAAAGGGCAAACAAAATAAAATGCATTTAAAATATACCATAATATAAAAATTGTTTGTATTAGTCTTTGTAAATGTCCAAAACAGAAAATAAAAAGTGACCAATTATTTTCAAGCTGAATAATCACTTTATAGCCATAAGTAATTACACTTAAGTCACAATTTTTGTGCAATTATCTGCAATTCTTCCCTCTTCGCCAGGCCTATTGTGCACCATGCTCTACTGGATGTTTCTACAAAACATGACACACAGTGTCAGCGAGTTTTAAAAGGATAGTAGGATTGGTGGCAAACTTCCATTCCTTAGGATCCATCAAGTGATCTCCTATAAACAGCTCAAACCTAGGTCTAGGAAACCTATAGCACCAACTAACAGATAATGTGATAAACAGTTTCATTCTGGCTAATAATTAGATCTGTATAGATCACTGTAATTTCACTGAGAGATGCCCTCTTCATATTAAGAGTAAAATATTGTTTGTTTTTTCAGAACAGGAATTATCAAGGAACATTGATAATTGGAGCGAAGCTCTTCCTATTAATACTAATATTGTTAAGCTATAGCATCATAGATTTCCCCGATTTTTCTTTAAGCATAGCAAAGACTTATGCCATAAATCAGCTCAGGGATAATGGCAATACTTACAGTACCTTTTTTGATTAATTTTTCAGCTTTATTGTTATACCAGAATGCCCTGATACTCATTTAATATTCACATTGTTATACTTAGTAAGGTTGTTTAGGGTGGCATGGTAGTCTTTTACTATTTTTGATCATGTAAAGTGATGTAAATGCCAAACAATATACAATAAAAACTATGAAATAATACTTGTTTTTTTTTTTACTGCCACTTTGGACCATCTCTTTCCTCTTTAAAGATAACAATAGTTTGAAACCCATAGCAGTTTAACTTATATTCTATGGAAACCAAAAATACCAAATCAGGAAAAAGAAAGGACACTTGCAAAAATATGTAGATAAATAAGCATTTATTAAAATATTGAACCAAAATAAAATTAACAAGGCTTTTATAGGAACTATTTACCTATCAATAAGGTATGTAAAAAAATGTCTACAGTTCGAGGAACCTCTCTCCCCCCCCATAGCATTTGCCACCTGCTACTGAGGTCTTTGAATTACAAAGTAGCAGTAGGAAATGCATGTTACATACAAGTATTATTGATGGCATTGAAAGATAGTGGGACATAACTATAAAATTTTCAAGAAGCAAATGAATATGAGCATAAGTTTTCAGATCTACACATTTTATTTGATATAATTCAATACAGTCTAAAAATATACCTGTAGATATTGATGAAGTTCATATAGATCTTCAACAGGGACAGCATTAGATGAGATTATTGATGAAGATTGGCTAAAAAAAAATAAAAATAAAATACTCATACAATTAAAACCAAAAGAGAAAAAAAATTAAGTAGCATCAAAGATAGAACATTTATTCATTTTAGGACCACCCAATGTTGCAAGACCATCTGCTGGGGGCAATGAAATTTTATAGTCTATTAAAGGAAAATAAATACAGTTGTGAAGTTATTTTGAGGAGGCATGACAGTCCATGATGTGAAGTGAAAGAAAATCAAAATAATACTTGGTTATACATTGAAAATAATTAAAATTTCTTTTAATAGTCATTAATTAATTAAAAGTGATAATTATTCAAATTATAAAATCACCACTGTTATTATAAGAAACAATAATCCCTTCAGCTGTGTAGGGCTTGATTTTTATAACTAAAAGCCATGGTAATCATTTTTTTAAATATGAGAAATTTTTTTTTAAATTACTGCAGTTAATAGCATCCAGCTTTCGTAACATTATTTATTAGTACATAATTTTATCTTCATAAAATAAAAACATTTATTTATAACAGATTTTTAGAAAAGTTAAAGATCAAAATACTTAATTCTGCATATTCCCCATATTCTATTTTCTAAATGAAATCTATTCCATAAAGAGAAGAAAGTGCATCAATGTTGTGGTGTTAACTAAAGTTTACAATAACCATGCTCTACAATTACTTCGGCTCCGACAAGTTTGAGGAATTCTGTGCTAGCATTGATTCAATGTACAATAATTGATTCAAATCTTTGTTATATAACAATAGAGAATGCAGAAACATTAAAAATCCATTATTCAACTGTTTAAGATCACTTGAAGAAGCAAGGAAAACATAAAGAAGCTCAATGTTTGGGTGCCTCATGAGCTCAAGGAAGATCAACAACATAAATATCTGTGACATGATGAAAAATGTGATAGATTTTTTAAGCAATTGATAACTGTGATGAGAAGAGGATCATTGCTAAAATGAGGTTCATAAACAGTCCTTATCCCCGTATTATGAACAACCTCAAATGGCATTGAAAGCAGACATTCATCAGGGGAATCAAAATTAATGAGTAAGATAAGCCAATCAGTGTGAGATGAATTTAAAGATATTAAGCTTTTCAAGAATCTATAAATGAACCAAGTTATGAATTATACTGCTTATATTTACACATTTTGGATAAATTCATAATTCAGAAATGTCAAAAATTTGTTAAAAGAATGAGAGTTGAGTTATATCAGGACAATACAGGACTACTACACACGGTTTTTTTTTTTAATGCCCAAAAAAATAATGTGGCTAAAACAGGATGTATTGCCACATTCATCAAACTCTGATTATGAGCCAACAAATTTCCACTTATAAAACTCTTATTTAACTTGGCATTTTGCACATTTTTTTGCAACTAAAGATAGATCCTTTTAAGAAGCTGTTGAAATTTTAAAAAAATGTTATCGATCAAAGTAGAAAATATATCATAGATTTATATTGGGTTGACAAAAATGAAAGATCCAATTTTTTTAAATCTTAAGATTTAGGAAGGATTAAAACATTGTCTGTTGACTCTCAGCAAAATATTTACTATTAATTATAAACACTCGCTAATCCTTTATTTACAAACAGTGTTTGTTGGATTCCCAAATAGCCATACAGATTTTAGTTTCATTTCGAATATGACAATGGAAACATGCAATTTTTTAGGAGTTTGGGCAACTTTCTGCAAGGAATATTGTTTACAAATGATTGAGACATTGAAAATCCATTCTCTGACATTGATTTGATGCATGACTCAAACTTTTTCAAATTTAGAGTAGAAAACTTGGTTAGCCATTGGTAAAAGTGCATTGAAAAAGATAGTAAATATTTTGAATAAAACATTTTTGATTTGTTTGTCAATTTTTTTATTCATTTCCTGTTTATAGAGACAGTCATTTCATGCATGATGACCCAATATAAACTGTAGGGGAAGTTGGTTGGTATGTGCAGTAATAGATGAGATAACATACAAAAAAAGGAGTCCAATTTTATTGTGTATCCATATTTCGGCCTATGTTTTAATCCACCATCATGGCTAAGTAAAAATAAGATTAGAATCAATAAGAACGAGTAAGAAAAACAAGTACAATAAGAAAATAAAAAACATTACAAAAATGGTAATGATAAACCAAATAAGTATGAGTAAATAATGAAAAATAAAGGTTAAATAATAAGATATTAATGAAAAACTATGATAAATAAAATAAAGAAAGATAAATTAAAATATATAAGTATTGTATATGATTATTACTGAAATACTAAAAAAACTAACATAAGAAAAAAAATGGGACATATGACGATACATGAAAATATTTGAAAGATTAGAATAGTATATGAGTGGCCTCATATCAAAGATGGCATCTGACATTTTTAAAAAGTTGAGAAAAAGGCGATTTTTGTAATATAACTTCAGTTTACTCCAATTATAATGATTTGTTTTCATGATCCAACTTGAATATTCTTAAATAAAATCATCAAAGATAGTTTGAGGTGAACCAATAAAACAAAAATTTACCTTTTCTCAACTTTCTGAAAATGAAAGATGTCCATCTTTGATATTAAGCCACTCATATGTAAGTCTAAAAGTATATGAAAGTGCATGGAAAATCAAAATAATTAATAATGAATGAATATACAGTATGTAAGATACATTAAAATGTAGGAAGTTATAACAGCAATGAAATAAAATATTAAGTTATATAAAGTCAAAGGAATAAGCAGAAAAATATTGTTTACAAGATTTAATGTATTTAAGTTAACCCTTTACATGCCATTTTTCCAGAAGTGGAACATATATCAAACAATTTTTTTGGCCAACTTAATCATTTTTTTTTTTTTTGCAAAAACAATTTTTTCATAAAAACAGAGGTTGAAAATTTTTAAAAAATTTTTTAATAAGTTTTTATCACTTTTAGTTCGGTAAATAAAAAGTTAAAGTTTCTGATATTTTAGTGTCGAGAGGAGTATTGATCATTTGTTTTTGTTTTAATACTACAGCTATGAAATTTAATTTGAATGTTGATTTAATTGATTGTAATAAAATACTGAAAATAATGCATTGTGGAAAATATAAATAAAAAAAATCCAAGAATCAGTTTTACTAAATTTAATTTTAATGTTCCACATATGGAACAATGGCAGGTTCACGCTATAGAAATGTTCGTTCTATTCATTGTTTCCTACCTTGTTTTCTTAGTAAAAAACTGCACAAAGAAATTCATAGAACTACTAATAGTTATTATAAGATTTTCGATTTTTTCGTATGATACCTTACCGATAGAGAAAAACTGCGTAATTTTTTTTTAGTTTCTTAGAACACATATTATTTGAAATACTATGCCGAACATCCATTGGTGTTAGTTTTCTCAATCATTACTGTGTTATGATTGCATCGCGTTTCTTACTTACATTTTATAATTATTAGGTAATGCAGGCTTAACCGCGGAAAGATGGTCCGCGAACAGGGCAAAAGACTTCCATTCCTCCTAGCAGGCATAAGACAAATGGACATTATATCATATCAGCTTCCCAAGGAAGATGTGTTCATTGTGGTACCAACATAAAATATCAATGAAAAGAATGCCAGAAACGCATTCGTATTGATTGTTTTCCCAGAAAATAATAAGATGTTGTGATAACTATAAGCTGATATCACAATATGAAATAAAATAAACATATAATAATAACAACATAGAAATGAAATAAAATATTAAGTTATATAAACCAACGGATAAGCAGTAAATAGACAGTATAAGAAGATGTAGAGATAACTATAAGTTGATATCACAATATGAAAACAAAAGTTGAATGAGGATAGGAAAGAGGAAAAAATAAACAACAGTACGATGTCTGTGAGCGTTGCAAAGAGAGAGAAGAACTGATAATAATAATAATAACGTACCAGCTTGTTTGTGATCTTAACAATAATTGCCGAAGTTATATACCCCAACCCTGCACCCACAGGCACCATTTTTCCTGTGTGACATCATGTGTCCCCGCAGACAAAATTGTGCTCACCTGACCTAACCTGTGACAGCAATCACCATGGCAGCCGGTGACTAAATTATGCAGTGTTGCTTTTGTATAAAATATCTAACAAGAACTTGATTCTAAATTTAATCATACTTCTTTGATAATGGCAATTTATTGATATAACAATATCTTCCAGTCAGTCTTCGTCATTATTTTTTCATTTTTTTTTTTTAAGAAAGAAGACCAATTTACTAAATTATTAATTTTACAATCACTTTAACATAATTATAATCACTAGTTATGTGTTCATATACCTGTCTCTTATTATATTGTTTAAAATTATCATATTATAATTATATTCTCCAAATTATAAAGCACAATATCACATTATCTTTAGCATTTATATTTTAATAAAGAAATTTTATACCTGGTGGACATTTTTAATGTATTATTTAATTTATTATTATTAACAATATCAAATTACAAAAAATCAAGGAAAAACACAAACAAATTGGTGCTTCTTGCTTGACAATCAACCAATAAAGGTATCCTACAGTAGAATCACATTAATTCCTATTGTAGACAGTTTTAACAGGGATAGTTAAGAAGATGACAGTGTGATTGGATGACAGTATACTTGTTTTAATTGATTAAAAGGTGAACTACTGATATAACAGGCATATTAAATTTATTAAGTACAGATTAAATGGGAAAAAAAAGAAAATGAGTTATAAAATTATATCATAATGCGGAAATCATATAATATCTATGATGTTATTATAATATAGAAAATTATATAAGTGTACATTCAGAATATATTAAGAAGAAACAAAAGGTGTCACGGTTTTGAAATGATTGTATAATACATATTAGGAAAAAAGTACAGTGGTGATGGATATAAAATAATCATTTCTGTGGAATAAAAATGAAGAAACAATATTTGGAAAGATAGATGAGACTTGTTAATTACATATAAGGAGTTATATACATATATATACCTAATATATAATAACATAAATGGGGAAAGGAGAGGAAAATAAGTAAGATATATTGGGGTGGATAATGAGGAATAGTTGCTTATTCAAATTATATCAGTGCCGGCATTATGGCCGCCAGGCAACTAGGCAATAGCCTCGGGGTGCTGACATGAAGAGTGGAGCCTGCCACTTGAAAGGAATAAAAAAAAGTTATAAAGCATATGACAATAATTAATTTTAGACTATTAATAAAGCAACTGAATTAGAGACATATTGAATGAAATAAAATTCAAATATTAGTTAATATGAAATTGTTTAAGAATTGTTTTTTGAGCGGCAGGGGGGGGGAGAGGAAGAGAGAGGGGGAGATGACATCATTGTCTAGGGGCCTCAAATGTCTAAAGCAGCCACTGAATTAGATTTTAACATACAAATTAAAGTTCTTAACCAAAGAACTTTATTTGTTACGAAAACAAGTGACTGGAGTGTCTTCAGGTGCTGTCTGGAAGGATTAATTGTAGATGAAGAATGGGATGTGATGGAGATGGACGTAGCTAATGACCTGGATTACAAGGTATCTTGGATCACCAACATCATTCGAGATGCTGCCGAAAACTCCCTGAAGCACCGGAAAGCGAGAGCTCAACCGGTCCCATGGTGGAGGCCAGCCTTAACTGTTCTAAAGAGAGACCTCTACAAGGCCCGGCGGTCATATCAGAGGTGCAGATGTGACGAGAGGCGCATTGCACTTCGGAATGAGTATAAATCTAAATCCAGGATATACCGAAACGAGGTTCGCTCACAAAAACGGAAGTCCTGGGACGAGTTCATCGTCGAAGAGTCCTTAAATCCCAGGGGTATTCAGTACAGGGTGACATTGGGTAAGCTGACCCCACTGCAGACTATTGCAGCTTTGAAATATCAAGATGCTCAGGCAACCACTCTGGAAGAGACGGCCAGTATTTTCATTGAAGCAATATACTCCAGGGATGATTCAGCCCAGGACAGCGAAAATGACGGTTTCGTGAGACGTACCACGGTGTATCCGAATGGATCAGATTTATGCCCACCATGGGACATTCACGATCTTCGTATTGCCGTGGATAGGCAGAAAATTAATTTAAAACGATTAATCGTTCTCCAGGTCTTGATGCAATAGACGCGGAAATCTCAAGGAACAGTATTCCGTATATTGAAGATCATATTTTAAGATTTTTCAATGAGTGTCTAGATACAGGATACTTCTCACGAAGTTGGAAGATTGCTGATTTGAGACTCCTCTACAAGGGAGGAGATAGAGATAAGCAACTCCCTAACTCATATAGACCTATATATCAGAGAGAGGGATCAGTCCTTGGTCCTGCTCTGTGGAAGCTTGTCTTCGATGAATTGCTGGGAGTGTTAGAGGAAGAGCGGTTCCCTGCTACTGCCTATGTTGATGAACTAGCTGCTGTGGTGGCCTCAAACAGCAGAGCTGGTGTCAAGACAGAAGCAGAGTGATGTGCTGGCCTGGTCGCGAGGTGGTGTGAGGGGAAGAAAATGAGGATGCTACTGCCAAGACTCAAGCCATTCTCCTCAAGGGCAAGACTGACAGGGCACACCCTATAACAATAAATATAGAAGGCCAGAGGATAGGTGCATGTGATGAGGTAACCTACCTAGGAGTTAGGTTAGGTTTAGGCCTAAATGTGACACCTCACTTGGAATATCTGGCAGGTAGGGTGGTCCTAGCAATGAACGGTCTAACTCACGTGGGGGCGCATTCTGGGGCCTTAGGTATCCAGCCACAATCACGATATATAAAGGTGTTGTGGAGAGTATCCTGAGGTATGCGTCTCCCTTCTGTTTCCATAACCTCAAACTACAACAAAAAAAAAAAGGCTAGCCTCGACTCAGAGGACAGCTCTGCTTCGGGTTACCAGAGCATATAGGACAACTTCGCATGAAGCGGTGTAGGTCCTAACGGGAGTGGTGCCTCTCGACCTCCTCCTACTAGAAGAAGTGTCGAAATATTCTTATAAGATGGGAGGCTCTACAGTACTTTCGGACAATCTACAGGTGAGGATTATGGCCTAAGAGCCTAATAGATGGAAGAAGATACTCCGGGAGGATATAATTGAAGCATGGAACTGGCGGTGGATAGCAACCCCTAAAGGAAGTACATTGAGGAAGTACTTTCCCACAGTACAGTCAAGGCTTCAGGCAAAGTGGGTCCTCCCCCCACTTTCCCAGTTCCTCACGGGGCATGGAGGATTTCGAGCTAAACTTCATGGTTTGGGCATTGATGTAGATCCTCTATGCCCAATCTGTAGTGTTCCGGAAACTGTAGAGTACGTGGTCATGACCTGCACCACATTTGAAATGTTAAGAGTGACAATGACAAGAGCCACGGGAATCTATGTCCTCAGTGAAAATGAGTTTCCTCAGTTAGTCAGCGAGGAAAATTTCCCACGGTTTAAGGATTTCATATATGGATGGAAGACGATGATGGGGCCTGCTCACTTCCATATTGGTGCCCGCAGAAGAAGAGGACAAGCGTCAGGAAGACCTCCAGATTCTGGAAGCTAAGCCGAAACAAGAAGGAAGAAGATAGAACAGAAGAACTGTGTGCACATCGTGTTAACTAGTAGTAATAATAATAATAATAATGCTTTATTTATTCTGGGACGAGTCCCTTTAGAATAATACATAGAGACAAAAATGTGGGCTAAGGAGCCTCAGAGATATATAAAGCAGAATATAGTTTGATTAAATAGTAAAAAAAAAAAAAAATAGATAAATGAAAAAAAAATAAGAGAAATTATAAGTTACTTTCTAATTTACATCAGTTAATAATAAAAAGTAAAAAATTGAAAATAAACATGAAGTAAAAAAAATAAAGAACGATCTAACAATTTATATACATATTTACAGTAGAAACTATTTACAATTTTATGATGACTGGATGGATAAGAAATGATTAAACAGTTGGGATTTAAAGGTAGGAAGGGTTTTGGATTGACGGATGTGGGGAGGGATGGAGTTCCATAGGGAAGGGGATCGGAATAATAAAAGATTTATCGAAAGCAGCGGTTCGGTGGGCCATTATATATAAATCTGAAGACCGGGAACGGGTATTGCGGGAGTGGACAGAGGATTTAAATTGAAGAAGCTCGGCGATGTATGAAGGATGGCGGGAGTGAATTACTTGGAAGAGGAAGGATGCCAGGAAATACTTACGGTGGTAGGAAGGATAAAGCCACTTCAACTCTTCATAGAAACAGGAAACAGAGGCTTCTCTTGGGATCCCAAAGATGAATCGTACAAAGCAATTTATCAAACGTTTTAGTTTCGCCTCGAGATCCCCAGAGACGCCTCCATATACCGTGCAGCAATAGTCAAAGTGGGGAAATATTAAGGAGGTGAACAGGGGTCTACGGATTTCAAAAGGAAAAAGGTGTCGCAGGCTATTTAAGTGTTTTAGGATGGAAAAGGTACGTCGGGAGATATTGGACACATGGTTTTTCCAGGAAAGGGTTTGATCGAAGATTATTCCAAGGTTTTTGATAGTGGGATAAAATTTGATGGGATTATCTGTAGGAACAGGGTTGGAAAGTTAAGAACAGTTTTGAGGAGGTGTTTGGAGCCTATTAGAATTCTCTTGGTCTTTTCCATATTCAACTTCAGCTTGTTAGCTCCTGCCCAGTCATATATTCTATTTAAATCTTCTTGAAGCTTTCTTGTGGCGGCTAATAGGTCAGAAGGGGGGAAGGACAGGTATATTTGGAAATCGTCAGCATAGATATGGTATTGGGAGTGATGGATCAGGAGGGGAAGGTTAATGTAAATAGCAAACAGAGTAGGAGACAAGGAGGAACTCTGAGGAACATCACAGGAGAGGGGAAGTGTCTTTGAAGGAGGTTGATCTGGGACGACTACATACTGGGATTGATCGGAAAGGAAGGATTTGAACCAACGCAGGACACTGCTGGATAGAGGAAGATTTTGCAATTTGGTAAGAAGGATGTTATGGTCGACTGTATCAAACGCTTTGGAAAAATCTAGAAGGATGAGGATAATAAGGTTTTGGTGTTCAATGGAGTTTTGGAGGTCATGGGTTATTTTAAAGAGGGCAGATTGCGTTGAATAGCCAGATCGGAAGCCAGATTGGAATGGATTGATGAGGGAACGTTCTTCTAGGAAGTTGGAAAGTTGATTTTGGACTAGGCATTCCAGTGGTTTTGAGAGGTTGGAAAAAAGAGAAATAGGACGGAAATCGTTCTGTAAGGAGGGGTTAGATGTTTTACTCAAAGGTCGGACTAGTGCAGTTTTTCAGGAAGAGGGAAATACGGAATTTTGCAATGAAAAATTGTAGATATGATAAAGTACTGGAATAAGTACTAGAATAGTAGTAAGTAGTAGTGTATTATTAAGTATTCATGTCTAAAACACACTATCGCAAACACCTGTATTGCCATAGTGGCATGGAAAGGTGGAATAAATAAATAAATAATAGTTCTAAACCAAGTTTTAAATAATAACATTCTTGCAATAGTCATAATAAACTTACGATAATCATATTTATAATTTAAAAAAAAAAGAATTACTAATATAACAAATATTTTCATTTACCTGGCTTTGGCTTCTTTACCATCTGGAAGGTATAATTTGATGTTAGCAATAATACACCCATGGGTAACTGAGAAAAAACAATTAAATGGAAGTTAAAACCACATTGATAAAGTGAAGAAATATACAAAAAGCTAAAAGAGCTATTAAAAAGTTTATCAAGCTGGTAAAAAATTTAACAGAAAACCAAACATTTAACAGAAATCTAAAAAGTTTAACAGAAAACTAATAAGAAATAAGGGTGTAAATAAATCCAAGATAAATATATAATATATAGAACTAAGAATAAACTTTAACGATATAAGCTTTTTTGATAACATACAAAACAACATAAGATAATAATTTAAAATGTATCAAAAGGAGTAGGTTACACAGAACCTCTTCAATCAATGCTTCATAACTCACAAAATACATATTTTAATTTAATAAAAATGACACTAAATACAACAATATGCTACAGATAAAAATTCTAAGCATATTATTTGTTTTGTTTTTTATATAATGTGCATAACTCCTTTTGTATGGGTACATGGTAAATATTTTTCTTATTCATTCCAGACTGTGTCTTGGATCTGTTTATTTTAATTACTGACTCCTAGGAGGATCTTCAGTCATAGTTGAATGGGACAAAGAATTAAAATTCTCAATGGCAAACTTCTGTTGAAGTCAGAGACTGTCTTACTGATAATGTTCAACTTAGTACTGGAGGTGACAACAACAATATATATATGTTTATATATTGCAACTGGCAACTATTAGATACAGTACAAACAGCAAAAATGCAGACTGAGAAAATAAGGCTGAAAATTTGAAGGCTGCTTACTGGTGGCACACTAAATGATCTTCAAGTTTTTAGAATATAGTTTAAAATATATTTAATAAGTTATATTAATGTCGTGTAATACAGCAATGTTAAACATAATTATGACACAACAGATTTACATGAATATGGAAAAAAGTAATTGATCAAGAAATAAATTTTACATGACCACTCATTGATCTAAATATTGCAAATATTCGTAATACCTTTTCTAGTATTTTCTATCACGTCAACTCCAAATTGAACAATATCTCCGGAGCATACCTCCCTCGGTAAACTTTCTTCACCTGATTTACTCAATCTCTGATTGTTGACGAAAGTGCCATTGCTGCTTTTAGTGTCTTGCAAATAAAACTGTAAAATATTAAGATGTTTTTATTGTTTTTTGTTTATCATTAGTATAATCTTGTTTATCGAAAAATATGGTTTATAAATTTATAACTTAAATTAATGAAAAAATACCTCTTATAATTACTTTACAGTTACGTTTAAGAATCACTTTCAACAGCTCCTACAAATTTGTTTTCAGGACAGGATAAGGACACGTCATAAACTGTCTCTTAAATGCTGAGATCCAAGATAGCGTCAGTAGCCACTCCTCATATTGGTCTCAGGCTAAAGTTAATAATATGTAAGAGCTGTTGAAGCAAGACAATATGGGAGATTAAATGCAAAACACCCCATATAAATTGATATTTAAGGTAATATAAATAATTGTTTTGTTTTGTTTTTTTACATAAGCTAAGGTGCATCACTAATCTGAAAAGTATAAATACCAGCATAATCTGTATCAAAAAACATTATGTTTTAATTTATTGCGAGATAAAATTTTTGGCCTAATTAAATTTGATGACGACGAATTGTAATATAAAATATGTTAAGAATTTAAAAAGTTATAATGAAGTTAACAGAATGATGTTGAAAGATAAATGTAGTTCTTTAATTCAATCTATAATAATAATTTAAGATAATCTAATTTTAACTTCACTATTAAAGGCATATACTGAAAAAGGAAACAATAAAAACATATAGATTAAATACTTAATACCAATAATGAAAATAGAAAAACAGAATTACGAGGGAAACAATAATTATTCAATCAAAAGTTGGTCATAAAACAAACGGAAGATCATGCATCACAAATTGAGATTAGGACTTACAGATCTTAATAAGTCTAATTGACTAATTCATTCTAATACAATTGTGATTAATTAACATTTAGATGTTCAAAAGAAAAAAAAAATCATGTTATTATAGTGCATGCACAATAAAATTCATTAAACATATAAAACCATTCAATAAAAATGAAGTCAACTGTTGAAAGTACTGATTTTTTTTTTTTTTTTTTTTAATAAAAGATATAGTCATTACTTTTTTTAATGTTATTTATTTCATAAATATTAATATGTACAATAAATTATAATTTATATAGGACGTTGCCTGGTACAATCCAATAGTCATTACTTATAATTGAAAAAAATATATACTTTTAAAGAATAATAAATGAGTTTCCATGCCAAAATGACAATATAACCTTCATGTTTTGACAAATACGGAATTAGCTTATTTGTTAGAGTGAAACAGAAATTAATTATCATTTGATTACCAAACAAGAAAGAGGTGTTCATATAAATCTTGGCTTTCATCAACTTTACAACTGATAAAGTTGAAAACTGCAAAAACTACACCAAAATTTAAAAACCAAAGGATAACTAACACGATTGGGTGATGGTGAAAATAAATCACCTGAGTGGAATGATAGTCAAGCAACACAAGATATGGATGGTACATAAATACTTTAACTACCTATGCTTGAGGTATGCAATACAGCCTTTCTACTCAAATGATTAAATAACAGCATGGGCAGAATTATAGTTTTAAGATTTTAATTTACCTATTAGAAAAATTCCTCTTGTGTATCAAAAATTCACTTGCATACAGCAACAAAAACATAAAGTAAATAGGAATCCTTTATAAAGATTGATTTGACTACATGGCCAAACAATCAATGGCTTGAAATGTATTAACTGTGCTAAATGGAGCATCGATTGATTACTCGTCAAAGGAAGACTTCTCAAAATTTATGCTGAAAATGTATTAACAATAATATTCTTTATTGCTCAGAAGATATATCTTGTGTGAAGTTCATCAGAACTTTGAAGATTAGTAACAGATAATAAAACTAACCAATACATAGGAAACATTTAAAAAAATTGAAGTGTTCAGAAAAATAAATAAATAAAAAAAAATCTGAAATAATTTTAATGTAGGAACAATTTAGGTGATTTATTTCTAATATGCATTTTCTGAATTGAATTTCACAAAGTATTATCCGATTTAAAAAAGAAAAAACAAGCAATTTAATAATATTTCATTTAATGAAGTAATTAAAGCTTCTGGAGAAAATTAAAACTCAAAGACTTCAAATATTTAAACCAAATTGAATTGTAACTGTTAGGATGTTTAACTACAATATAAGAAGTTTACAAGCCATAGGATTTATATTCTTGCAGATTCACAAGAATGCATTCTAATATTTAGTTATAATCTTACATAAACATCATTTATTCAATGTAAGTATTCTATAGTAGATATTGAAACATCAATTGCATTTATTTGAATAATTTAATTAATAAATAAACAATCACAAAAAAAGTTATGAAGAACATTGCTTTATTGTTCTATGAGACCACAACCATTACAAACAAATGAGAACATATTTTCCTTCAGGATCTGAATTGTATTATAATTTATGCTATCAATTAAAATAAAGGGAGAATATAAATCATTCCAACATACTACCATTTAATAGTGTCCCCTCCCCATTAAAGAACAAGTTAATACTTTATTTTTTTAAGAAAACCTTGGCTGAATGGGAAGTGTTCAACTTCATTTACTACTGTAAGCTACTGATGGGGGAAACTAATTTGCTAAGTAGACCTTTTGGTCCTTTTTTTCCAAATCCTGACAGCTACTTAAAGGTTGTAGCCCTATACTAACCTGAGTGGGAGCTTCATTTCTCAGGACCACAGTAAAATAAATACTAACTGATACAGTTGAGAATCAAACCCACATCGTTCCGAACTGGGTACAACCACATCCCAATGTGCTCGGCCGTTATGCAATACCTTATTACTCCTTTTGCTAACACTCTACAATCAATCAAAAGTACCTTAGACAATAATTATGTTATTCTAAGTCATGAAACTTTGCTACATTGAGAGCATATTATACACGCTTGAGTTTGATGATATGAAATGAGAGGAGGTGGAGCAAATTTCTAAGATAACAAGGTAATTTCTTTGATAGACTGCTTGTAAAGAAAAAAAAAGATGTAAAGAATAGAATAGTAAATACCTGCATGGGTACTACGCAAATTTGAAGGAAAGGATTCATCATCAAATCCTCTAAAGCGGACCCTACACGGTCATTCGGAATTGCACTAATGACGTTCCGAATTATCGTGTAAGGTAGTGAATGAAGTACTGATGGTGGTGCGCTGCAGATTTCCGAACATCCGGAAATCAAAGGTTCATTCACGAGAAGTGGAGGGGGGACTGAGGTAAAAGTAGTGGGGAGACTAACCATACTGCTGGATAGGTTAGGTTACCTAGGCCTCACAACCATTATAAATTTCTGATTTTCATTATATGTAAATAGTTAAATAATTTTTCATATCCCTTGTTTATAATTTTAAACCATCTTCAACTATTTCTTTTAAATAGTCAAGTGGGCAACAAATTAAAAAAAAAAAAATGAGGAAACTTCACAATTTACTTTAGAAAAAAAAAAACTTTAACGTTGTGTATATTTATCAGTTCTTTTCCCATTTTCCTCAACAAATTTATTATTTTCGCAATACCTTTCCTTAATTTTTGTAAGTAGTAGACTTATATTTTACTAACTTTTGTCAAAACGATTTTCTATGAGACTAACCTTACTACTAGATAGGTTAGTTTACCTAGGTCTCGTTATTAAGTAAATAATTTCATAAAAGTAAATAGTTGTTTATATCCCTAGTCTATATTATTATTAACCATTTTCAACTATTTTTTCTTTAAATAGTCAAGTAGGCAATAAATTGAAGATAAAAAAAAGTGGAAACTTCACAATTTACTTATAGAAAAAAATCTTTAACTGTTGTGTTTATTTGCCATTAATTTTTCCATTTTTCTTAACAAATTGATTATTTTCGCAATACTTTTCCTAGATTTTTGTATGTAGTTGACTTATATTTTTCTAACTTTGGTCTAAACGATTTTCAGGCACTAGGAAGTAATTATTATATCTCCGTTTTTCTCTTGATGCCCAATATTATAAATGGCAATGTCCAAATAAGCATATCTATGCTGTTTCTTTGTTTACAACTGAGCTAAATTGGTATCAGCAACGATAAGTAATGATAAGGGTCTTCATGATCAAAGCGACCCCGAGCAATCTTGGCACTTCTTGTGACGTTCATTCATGAATTACCGTGTAGGGTCTGCTTAAGTCAGTGTCATTATTATTATTGTTTTCAAAACCTAATTAATTTAGCAATTTCAATACTTTATTCATGAAATCAGGTTCCTTTGTCTAAAACATTTTATCATCATAATATGATACAAAATATCAGAAAGAAAATGAATGTTTTTAAATTTTTTTTTATTTTTTTTTGTTTTAATGAAGTTTACAACTGTATTACATTAAAAATGCAACAAGTAAATGTGACATTGGTAACATGACATGTACAACATGAAGAGAAACTACCCATTGGTAGAACTCAAATTAAAGTTCTTTATTAGAAGGTACCGAGGCCATCTTCATTTCAGACGCCTCAGAGGATTATCAGGGATCGAGCAGGAAGCAAGGTTTGAGACGAGAGGGTTCGGATGGTTCTGCAGTTTGTTATGAAAGGATAGGTATCTGGATTGTTTTTAAAATAAAATGAATAATTTCATACTTTAAAATTTAAACTTAAATAATCTAGGACATTTTAGTCACTTAAAGAACACATAACTTTTAAAATGAAGTCATTAAAACCAAACATTCTGCAATGATAAGTGGACCTGACATACCTACTATGTTCTGAAAATTGGTGTCAATAACAAAAAAAAAGTGTCCGTCCTTCTCATAAACTATTCAAGGAAAACTAGTAATAATTTACGAACCCGGAGAAAAAACTTTAAGGTAATAAATATAAAAATTAAATAAAAACAACAATATAAAAGAGTCAAAACTCTGACAAGGAGAATAATACTACTGCCAAAATAAACCTAAAAATAAGTACATCATAAATAATAAAATCCTGCTAGATTTAACCTAAACTTTAAACAAATATCACTTCATTTTCCCAAAAATTTCAAAATTTGGAACTGTAGCTGATGGTGAATACAAAAATTTTAGGATGTTTTTGAAATGTTGAACATAATAATCATATATATCATATTAACATCACGTGAACTTCTGACAGAAGTATACTAGCATCTATTATTTTATTGATTTTACTCAAAAACTCTAGAAATATGTCTGTCTTTTAGATGACAACATTGTTTTTGTCTCACAGAGAAACCTCTTGTAACCTTTCAGAGAGATACCTCTCTCGAGCGGACACACCTTCCTGCAGACAATTTTTCAATTTCCTGGCCAGTGACTATAGGGATTTAGAACACTATGCAAACAGACATGGTAAGCCATATTTTTGACAATAAGAAATAAATTCATCCCTCTGAACCGATACAAAATGTTCAAAATTACATTATTTTATGATTTGATATAAATGTACATTTAAATATGCAAATATCTTAAAATTCTTCTTCTTCAATTAATAACATATTTTTGAATAGTTGATGGTTGACTGTGGTATATTATTGAGTAAGAAGATGATCCGGGGAGGCAGTCATAAAAAGACTCAAATAGTAACAAACTATTTTATTTTATTGACCCGACTTTGCAGGTCTTCTTCAGGACTAGAACGAACAAGATACAAAAAGCTGTAGAACAATGTGGCACTTACATAATGTTTGGATAAAAAATATAAACAATGTGGATAAACTTATTAAAATTATACACAGTGTGAACAGCAAGTACAAAGAAAAATTAAGAACAATAAACTATATAAACAGAGTATAACTAAGTAACAAGAGGGATTGAAAAAGGAAAAATAATAAAAAATAAGTAATAATGGTCAAAAGAGGAGTGTGAAGTAAAAAAAAAAAAAAAATGTAGAATAAATAAAAAATTAAAAATTGAGACTTTTGGTTGTATGCAGTAGAGAGTTTCACTTGAAACCTAGGAAATGTGGAGGGAGGAGGAGTGGAAAACACATGGAAAATATAGTTGACCTGGTAGGGGTATGATGGAGGTAAGCAGTGATTCCAGGTAAAACATAAACAAGGAATATTACAATATTTAAAATTTGAAGATATTGATGGATAACAAAAAAAACACAATATCTATGAACTAATTAGATATAAAAAGAGACTGGATTTCCATGTTATTGCACATTTTATTCACTTGCATGTAAAAACTCCTGACACGAATATCTATCCATTTCAGGATCTGTAAAATAACATATTTAAATTTCATTTTGCACTTTTTGGCTTAAATTGTTCGATTTTTTTTTTTGGCATTAAATTGCAAATTTTGTGCTAGATTAAATGATTTATAAATATAAATATATGTGTGTGTGTGTGTGTGTGTGTAAATATTTATATTTTTATTTCACAATCTTGTCCATATTAAATTTATAATTTAAGAAAGAAAATATGAAGAAGGTAAATGATTTTGTGACTAGCAAAGATTCGAAATTAACGTTACAAAAGGACGAAGTAAACACAAGTCCAGACAGACAATTCGCGGAAGAAACTTGCCTGCAGTAATTCAATAAAAAAACTGCCTTCCTAGTTTTGACTTGAATTCTCACTATTTCTTCAGTTCTTCAGTATCCCTTCTGGCTTTGAAGTGAATCGTAGACTAACATGAATTTGGCACGAGTAATGCCGATTTGACATTCATAAAATCACATTTGTCAAATTTTCCGTAAACATTAACTCAGCTAGAATCTCGAAATTTGCCACTTGATAAAAAAATTAAAATTATAGAAACTATAGGAGAAAATCTTTGAAAAATCTAGATAAAGGTACAAAAAGAGGAAAAATTATATCTCAAAAATTTTACTCAGTAATAGAAAAAAAAAATACAGGTACGCTCTTATAAAAAATATTTATATTAATATATTAGATCCAGAAGTGGTTGCTTGTTTTAAAATGATTTCTCTTACTTCAGTTCATGATGAACGCTCTTTTTCTCAATTAAAAGACCTATTAAGTGATACGAGAAACAATTTTTCAGAAACAAATTTCCAAATGTATAACATTGTAAATTTTAACTTGATTAAAAGATAAAAATCTCATTAAAATTTGGACAATTTATAATTATGTGTATACATAAACTATTTTTAATTAAAATTAAATATCTGAAATCAATTGGTCTGGTATATATAACAAATGCTTAGCTTTCGTAGCTTTAATCTTTTTAAGTTCCTCTATATTACTTCATTCCTTCTATATGCCAGTCAATTGACCAATTTAAGGGAAATTTAAAAAAATATATTTAATTATTTAGACCTTTTTGTACTTGTTTTATAAATTATTATTAAATTTTCTATTATTAATGTTAGTCCTTATTTATTTATTTTTTTTAATTTGGATAATTTTTTTTTTAATGGATAAAAAAAAAATAATAGAAGATAAAATAAAATAAGCTATTTTTTACTTATTAGATTTAAAATGTGTCTGTATGTTAAAGAAATACAATTTTTATTCACTTTATGATTAACCGGATTCTGTTCCACGTGGATGTGGATGGATTTGGAAATAAGTCTTTTTTCATGGTTACAGACCGTGGCAAGAATGAAGGTTTTTTCAAAATCAAATGAATGATTGAGAGTCAAGGCATGTACTGATAGTTTTGGAGGTGAAAAGATTCTGGGAAGTTTTATGTTGGGAAATACGGCTTTAGAGATAGTTTTTAGTTTCACAAATATAGGAACTATTGCAATTAGGAGTAGAGCAAGATATACGGTAAACTACATTAGATCAATGTTGTAAAGGAACAGGATTTTTCAAGTTGGTGAAAAGGAATAAGAGTTTGTTATGGGACTTAAGGCTGAGACGTAAGTTGGTAATAGTCAACTTTAAGTATTTCTGTATATTATTTGATAGGACAGGAATATAGGAGAGATTTGCATATGAAAGTAGTGGTAAGTGATTGTGGAGAGTTGATAGAAGAGGATGTTGTATTGTTTTTGGTTGTATAGTTTTTTAACTTCCTTTTCCTTTTACTTCCTTTTTCTTTCAATCCCTCCTTGAGATAATATACGTAATTATATCCATTATTACGTATATTATCTAACCTCCTAATTACATTAAATGTTTCCCTATTTCCAATAATCTACAATAATTGTTACCATTTATTTACTTCAGTATAGGGTCTCGTTACTTAGTTATACTCCGTTTATATAGTTTATTGTTCTTAATATTTCTTTGTACTTGCTATTCACACTGTATATAGTTTTAATAAGTTTATTCACATTGTTTATATTTTTTATCTTCACATTATGTAACAGCCACATTGTTCTACAGCCTTTTGTATCTTGTTCGTTCTAGCCTTGAAGAAGATCTGCAAAGTCGGGTTGAAACGTTGGCTAAAAAAAATTAAATAGTTTGTTACTATTTGGGTCTTTTTAGGACCACCACCTCGGACCATCTTCTTACTCAATAACATATTTTTATTTGCTTATTATAAAAAAATATATTTAAGACTTTTATGAGAGAAAATAAGATACAGAAAGGTACAGTTCATTCCACATAGTGATGGTTTATCTTGAAACCGTAAATTCAAACAAAATGAAAAGAACAAAAATTAGTACTGTAAATATTTACGTTATTTATACATTTTGTTCACCAAGTTTATTTTTTGTTTATTAAATATTTTTAAGGCTATTAAATTCTAAAAATATTATGTATATAAATAGAATTCAAAATTATATTAATAAACTTCATTTATACAAATTAAGAAATTTGTTTTGATACATGCCTTTACTTATTCATTTTTTAATAACCACTTGTATAACCCTTCTCAGCAGTCAACCCTCAGCAACAAACTAATCTGTCAGACTGTGGCTGTCCGTTGGAGAGAGGTTTCACTCTTTTACATAAAAAAATAAATGAATAAAACTGCTACAAAGATTATGTGACAATTTTTATTCATAATTAATTAGTATTTAACAAAGATTAAAGATTTACACGTTTAAATAGCTAGATTCCACAATGCTATGCTTTAAAAATTACATATTTATAGTTTTATTAAGGAGTCATAGACAACTATTTTTCCTGAAAATGACTAAATCTAAAGAAATAAACCAAATCATTGTCTAGTTTGTAAATAATTGATAAGATACCTGTTTTCCAAAAATAATGGAAAAACAAAATTTAGTGAATAATAAATCTAAACTAAAAAAAAAAATTAAGCTAAAAAACAAAACAAAATGAGATAAAAACAAATTAATAGAAAAACATAATTACCTTTCCATTAGTGTACCAAAATACAGCATGGTTTCTAGAAAGAACTTTACAATCAAATATGGCATTGTTTGGAGAGGGCCTTGCTCGAGCTACTGATCGCCCTATTTTCACAGGTTGATCTAATACTAAAGTGCGTTCCTGAAAAAGTAACACACATTTATGATCATATCACTTTATTCATAAAATATCAATTTAAAAAAATATCCTGCCCTCCTTATGTGGGGGAATCTAAGCTCAGGGGACCAGGCGGGACCACAGGTGGCGGATAGTAGACTTGCGGATAGTAGTGGGGAAGGGTGGTCAGTTGTGTGGCCATCCTCAAAAATACTCTAGAGAGCTCTAAGACGGTGACTGTAACGAGGCGAGTGTGTACCGCTTTTAAATATGCACAACCACTCCCCTCATCACAGCGGGGACACCTAGGAGAGGGACAACTCTGAATAAAAAACCTGGCCGGATAAGGCTCATTAGCAGTGGCAGGCAGCTTATCTAAGGAAAGGAGACCCTGACAGAAAACCTTTGGTCTTCCAGGTTGGGGGTTGTCATTTGGGTCAGCAGCTCATTGACGTAAAACTCTTCTCACTACAATTAGCAGAAAAGAACCTCGGATTTGGATAGTCATAACGGAAGCAGACTTTGGAAATGGAAACCAATTTTTCATTTTCGTACGTGGAATATTCAGAGCTTCACCAACAAAAACTCTTAGGTGCAGAAAGAAGTGGAGAGAGCAGAACTGCATCTGGTCATGCTCACAGAGACTAAATTGAAAGGAAAGGGACAAGAGATATTGGGTGAATATGTGCATACCTGGAGTGGTGTGGGAAGAGATGTGCGAGCCAAGGCAAGTGTTTCAGTTCTGATAAAGAAACACCTCAAAGAAAAGATCACATATTGTGAGGAAATATTGGAAAGGATTATCAGTGTAGATATGGATATTTTTGGCAGAAAGGTCGCAGTCATAGGCATCTACGGTCATGGAAATAGTGAACCCCTGCAAGTGAAGGATGAATTCGAAGAGGATTTCTCAGGCTCGTGCTGGAGAAGATCACGAAGTCATCATTCTTGGGGATTTCAATGCACGAGTAGGTCGCCAAGTAGGAAGCAGAGTTGTTGGAAGGTGTGGAGAGGCTCAGATTATGGACAACGGAAAGAAGCTCATCGATGTTTTCAAAGGGTTCGATTTGCAGATTCAGAACAAATTCTTTCAGCACAAGCCCATACACCAATTCACATGGAGTAAGCCTGGATTTCAATCGTCTATACTGGATTATTGCATCACCAGGCAAAAATCAAGTTGTAAAGTGGAAGATGTGAGGATGTTCAGGGGTTGGGAATGTGGAATCACTTTATGCTCAGGACCAAAATTCTTTTCCCGTGGAAAGGTGGACGGGGTCTAAAAGAGGGATGCTGCAAAGTATTACCTTACCAAAGTACAAACTGCATATCCTTACAGAAGACAGTGTTGGGAGGTTATAGCAGGGAAAGCAGACTAGAGGAAAAAATAGATCTGAGCCGGGGAAGCAATCTTTCAAAAAAATATGAACACTTAAGGGAGTGCATCCACGCAGCAGCCTGGGAGGCGTCAGGGTATGATGAAAAGAAAAAACAATCAGATTAGTGGTCTGAGGAGGTGTCTGATTTGGTGAAGGCCAAGAAAGAAGCATATGAGAAGTACTTAGCGTCAAATAGGGACCAGGACTGGATTGCCTACAGAGCTCTTAACAAACGTGTAAAGGAGGAAGTTGTAAAGGAGAAGAACAACTCCTGGGAGAGATACTGCCAGAAAATAGATGGAACTCGGCTTCGATCGAGTGAGAGAAGTTTGGAGTATTTTGAAGAGCTTGAGGCCACCACGTAAGGGCAATGTTATTTCTTCTATAAGTGAGGACACATGGAAAAAACATTATGAGACCCTCCTTAACGAAAGTAGACCGAAGTTTATGGCACAAGAGGGAACGCACAGGAAGACTCCAAGCCAGACCATATGCAAGTAATGGAAGAAATAGTGAGGGCTCTGGGCAGAGCTAAAAGGGGAACAGCTCCAGGACCTGGGGGCTTGTATATGGAACTTTTAAAGGCTGGTGGAGGTAAGATATTTACACTCCTTATGAACATGACGAACATGGTGCTGAGAGGATGTGATCTGCCAGATGATTTCCGAACAGGATACATCTGCTCCATCTTTAAAAAAGGAGATAGGAAGCAATGCCAGAATTATCGTGGCATCTGTTTACAGAGCTCAGTAAGTAGGATTATCGGGAGACTTGTCTGGGATAAGCGTGAAGGGGAGTAAACCACACCAGTGGTACAAACTGGTTTCACTGCCGGGAGATCCCGTATGGACAATATTTTTGTACTCCGGCAGCTCTTTGAGAAATGCAGGTGTGTGTGGAATAGGTATAGAGGAGACCAGAAATAAGTAAGTAAAAAAAATATATTGTGACTATACTTTAATTGTTTCCAAAAAGGAATTTTAAAATATTATATACTAATATCATTATTAACTGGGAGTTCCCGGTAAGTTGATGAGATTGACAAAGACCTGTACAAATGAGCCTAAATGAGTCATAATACAAGAATTTTATTTGTTACAATTAATTTCGTTAAATTGACTTAATATCAATAAATCATATTTTATTAGTAAGTAATATCAACTACTGAATCTTACTTGGAAGAGGTGGGAGTTGGGTCTGCATGTGAGCACTGCTTTTCCAGCCATTATGATGCATCATAATCACAACAAAAATCAGACTTCTGCAAATAAATTATATGTATGATTCAATGCAAAATAAAATTATTATGAATAATAAACGTAATCACAGTGAAATAAAAGAAAAATAAATAAAAACAAAAATTACTGGAGAAAAAAACATTTTAGATTTGCTAAACATATTCAAAAATGATGATTATAATAACTGCACAAATATGAAATTAGTTAATTGAGTTGTTTCACATGAAATATGTAATTTCACTTTAAAGGTTACTTGAATAATTAAACTGTATGAAATAAAAAAAACATTTTATACAAAGTGTAAAATAAATAACTTTCTTTCTTATATATATATACTGTATTCATTCAAATATAGGTTGACCCCCATTTTGAAAATAATTTTTGGAAAAAGATATGAGAGGACACGTTTAACAACTAACAAGAAAACAATTTTTAAATTCAATATACAAATTTTGACAAATCTTAAAAAGAATCAAAAATGCTTAAATTTGATACTACATATAGTCTGCGGTACAGACACCTTTTTGTCAAATGATTAACATCCTTCTAAAACTTTGTAAATGGCTCCATCTTACTGTGACCTACAGAATACTTTAGTCAACTTTAATTTTGTACAGAACTTTCTTATTGCTAGGTAGCAGAGTTTCCCTGACATATACGAAAAAACTAAAAAAAGTGATGTCTTGAGTCAATACAAGTGGAGACTTTAGGAGTATGATGAGGTCTTGGTCAAACAAAGTTCTAAAATCAAAAAATGTGTTTCTTCCATTTTCCTCAATACCCCGGTTTTCAGCATTCATTGATTGCACTAAATGTTAAATGGAGAAGGTGTACCAACAGGAAAATGTACAATATGTTGGGAGAACTCAATATTATTACTTGGATAAAAATTAACAAATTGAAGATGTTACAAGAATGTATGAGCAGTATCCTGCTAACAAGTCGCTAGAAAGAAAACTGTACTGTACTAGAGCAAGAGGCAGACCCAGATTGTGATGGGTAGATGCATTGATACAAGATATCAGGTGCTTCTTGAACATTTATGACTGAAGAGCAGTTGAAATTGAGACACCTGATGAAGGCTTCTTGTGGAAGCTAAGACCCTAATACCGAAGCTAATACAGGGTCGTAATGGCATGTTATGTTATATTACTTCTTGTAATAGATAATTCTTTAAAACAACTTTTCCATCAATTATATATTCAAATCTATACAAAAAGAAAAAAAAAATTCCGCCAGATGAATATATTTATATATTGGATTTCTCAGAGAAAGTTTTAACATCAGTTATTTTTTAAAACTAACTAGAACTGGAACCACCTTGCCACATATCAGCAGATTTTGCCTGAACGAAGAGGAAAACATATTAATCCTGTGTTTAGTGAATTAATTTACATAAATACTCATTACTCTATCAAAGTAAATATGTAAATTTAGTAAAATATTAAATTGTTATAACTCATTTATAATAAGATAGTAAGACACCAGCAATAAGTGATGTAAAAAAAAAATTAGCAATATTCATTAAGCCTTCTACGGTAAAGAAATAAAAAAATAAATTTTTATTTCCAATAGGTATAAGTAAGAAAAAAAATTTACATTGTTTCTAATTTATTCCTATTTCTAATAAAAATAAATTAATACATTTGGGCAAAATCGTTCCAACAACATATAAAGTTCTATATGTGTTATTTTTACCAGTCATTAAAGTTTATACAAAACTTCCAAATAACCTTACTTGGAATATATCAACTTTTTCAGGTCAATAACTGATGAATACAACAAAATTTTTCTTCCTGTCAATTTGCATTTTCAGAACCATTCAATAAAATGCTCGTCCATTCATTGAAAAAGGCATTGTTCATTGCTGTAACAAAGCAATATAAAAAATTGAAGGATATGACAGACAGATTTACATTAATTTTCTTTTAACAAAGTTAGGCTAAAAATCTACTATCAGAAATTCCCAAAACATAAAACAACAAAACTTCATAAGAAAAACAAAACAAGAATTAAAACTACCAATGATGATTTATATTATTATTTAATACAAAGAGTGGCAAAGTAGTAAATTCAATTGATTAGTCTTTTATGACTGCATTATTACTTATTACCAACAATACCCTAAAAATACATTTATTGATTGATGGATATGTTCAAAGGTTAATTTTATTAATTCTTAGATGTTTCCGTAAGTTACCAAAATGTTACCAACAACATTACTATAAGGAATACAGCAATAATATCCACGTTTCTGACATTTTTGTGGCTACTGTTACCAGTAAAAATAGCCATATACTATTGACATTGGTATTAACAATGTTTCTGGTAATTACATTAATAGCATTTATGTTATAAACATTTCAATCTCTACTATTCACACCATGGAGTGGGGTAGCTCAGTGGTAGGGTACAGAGCATCCAATGCTAAAGGACACAGGTTCGATTCCCGGCTCAAGGCAGAAAAATTATTTATTCTGTTTCATTGGCCATGGGGCAATGCTGGGTGGGTAGACCCACCCTCCTGGGGCACATCCAGCCTCTATAAGTGGGTACCCTTAATTAAAATAATTGATTAAGGAGAAAAACCTGGCGGTTGAGCGTGATCTCGGTCAAATCGCCTCCTTGCACAATCGTAGACCAAGAAACAGTAATTTCCTTAAATAGTACTGAACCCAAGATCCTTCATGGGTTGTAGTAGTACAGTTTTTTTTTTTTTTTTTCTATTCACACCACTGGATAACGAAATGCTATTAACATTTTAGAAATAGAAAATCATCTTCATTTCTTCGAGGTGCTAAATACAAGTCTGAACTCTGTTTCTCCATAAACATATGTGTGAGATATTTGCAAATAAAAATTCTTTTTTTCTGTCATAACATTTTCCAATGAACTTTCAGGAGTTTGTGACTATGGGTGTTAATATCTCCATCAAATACCCTTTCATTTGATACCTCATTCGTAATAATCCGTTGTTATAAATTTTTTTATGATTTTTGACAAAAATATAAACATAAAAAAAAAATAACTAGAGTAAATAAATGATTTGTATCTGTTGCTTAAGAATTTCAAGTGAATACACATAAATATATTGTGAAAAACTGTACAAGTATTGTGATCTATTTATGAAGCGATAGATTAAGAGGAGTGTGTCGAAGATAAGTAAAAAATAAAATACATTTCAAAGAAATACAATCTTATGAATAGGAAAAGTAGAAGATAAGAAAAATAAAAAACAAATTATACCTACTCACAATGCTTTGTGATAGGTGATGGAAGTTCTTTTCCATATTCAAAACAGCATAAAAAAAAAAAATGAAAAAAGATAATGTATAAAGAAAATTAAAACCTTGTTACATAATAAATACTTAGCCAGCATCTGATTGAATTGTGAAGAGGAATTGGAATAAGAGGGTTTTAAATGTATATAAGGATGGTGCATGGCAGATTTTTAGCAGAATGGAATTCCAAAATGCAGTGAAACAGACAACAAAGCAATGTTTAAATGAGGCAGATCTGTAGAAAAGAATGTAAATGTTGGAAGGACGAGATCTTGTGGAGAGGGAGTGGATATATGATTTGAATAATTGGGATAAAATTTGGGAATCATTGGCATAGAGTTGATGGGAACAGTGAAGTATTGATTTATTAAGGTTGCTGATATAGGAACTAAAAAGAAAAGGAGATATGAAGATTCCTGGGCCTTTCCTGAGGTCAGAGTAACATAAGAAGACAGGTTGATTAGGAATAGCGACTGCTTGGGAGCATTGAGAAAGAAAAGATTGAAACCAAAGGATAGAAATGATAGAAAAGGATAATGAAAAATGAAATGAAAATGAAAAAAAATGTTTTATTATTCTGGGACTGTTGTCCCTTAAGAACAAAATATGAATACAGATTATATGTCTGTGTGGCTACAATTAAATTGTATATTTACAATGAAAGTTGACTTACGATAAAAATACAGAAAAGAGAAAAAAAAGAACAAGTAAATTGTACATATGTATGAGAAACTAAAATAACCTTAATAAATTGAGGTAGTCTCTGGTGGTGCTCAGATATTTCTCTAAGATATATTTCACAATCATTCGGATTGAGAAAGGAGTAGGTGCTTAAAGAGGAGTGGTTTAAACGAGGAAACTGATTGAGCGTGTCGAATATCAGCTGGGATGGAATTCCAGAGGGAGGCGGCTTGTATTGCAAAGGATTTGTCAAACGCAGCAGTTCGGTGAGGAGGAGGATAGAGGTCGGAAGTACGAGATCTGGTGGGACGGGATTGGATGGAATATTTGAATTGTAAGCTGTGAAAAATATAGGAGGGTCGATGGGTTCTAATAATTTGGTACAGAAAGGTGGCTAGGAAGTACTGACGGCGATAGGATGGGTAGAGCCACCTCAACTCAGTGTAATACTGGGTAATATGCGTATCCCTTGAGATTCCGAAAACAAATCGTAGTGCGCAATTCATTAGGCGTTTAAGTTTGGCCTCGGAATCTCCCGGGAGTCCACCGTACACCATACAGCCATAGTCGAAGTGGGGGAAAACAAGGGAGGAAACTAGGAGTTGACGGGACTTATATGGAAGGAGATATCGTAGACGATTGAACTGTTTTAGGGTGGAGATAGTGCGACGGGAAATTTGGGAGATGTGAGGTTTCCAGGATAGGGATTGATCGAAAGTAACACCTAGGTTTTTAACGGTGGTGTAGAATAAGATAGGTGAGTTGTTCAGGAAGAGATTGGGAGATACTGGGGAGGATTTGAGGAGTGAAGGGGATCCGATCAAGATGGCTTTTGTCTTCTCGGCGTTCAGAGTGAGCCTATTGAGGTTTGCCCAAGCACTTATTCTGTCAATATCTTCCTGAAGTTTTTGAGTGGCATCTGAGATATCTGTCGGATTAAAGGAGAGGTAAATTTGAATGTCGTCGGCATACAGGTGGTAATGACAGTGCAGGATAGAGGATGGGAGGTCATTTATATAGATGGAGAAAAGGGTGGGGGATAAGGAAGAGCCTTGTGGGACGCCTCTGGTCAGAGGTAGAGATTCTGATGGTGGGTTATTAGGAATTACAACGTACTGGGAGCGACCGGTTAGGAAGGATTGGAACCAATTAAGGGAACTAGAAGAAAAAGAGATATTTTTAAGTTTGGTTAGGAGGATGTTGTGGTCTACTGAATCAAAAGCTTTGGAGAAGTCTAGGAGAATAAGGATGGTTAGTTTCTGCTGATCTATGGCTGTGTGAAGGTCTTGGGAAATTTTGATTAGGGCAGACTGAGTAGAATAACCAGGCCTGAATCCAGACTGGTAGGGATTTAGGAGATTATTGTCCTCTAAAAAATGGGATAGCTGGGATTGGACTAACCGCTCTAATGGTTTTGAGAGGTTTGAAAGGAGGGAAATCGGTCGGAAATCATTAGGAACTGATGGGTTTGAAGTCTTCTTCAATGGGCGTACTAGGGCGGTTTTCCAGGATGTAGGGAAGGTAGCATTTTGAAGAGAATAATTGTATATATGATAAAGGATCGGAAGAATGGATGGCAATGCGGCTTTAATCAGTCTGACTGGGATGTTGTCGGGACCGTAATCATTGGTATGGGACTTCTGAATGGATTTAAGGAGCTCATCTGGTGTAATATGGGAAAGAAAGAAGTGATCAGGATTAAAGGAAGAGAACATAGGAGCCAGACTGGACGTGGGAGATGTGGATGCAAGAGGACAGGAGACAAAGTGAGCGTTGAGGTTATCAGCAGAAACGGAATTGGACTGAGACTGGGGTGTATTACCAATGGTCAGTTTTCTAAGAATAGCCCACGTAGCCTTGGTATTGGGAGAGTTGGATAGGGAATGATGGTAGTAACGGGATTTAGCACGGCGTACTGCTGATTGAGTGCTATTTCGAAGCTGTTTGTAGGAGAGAAAATCATCAGGAAGTCGAGTTCGTTTAAACCGTCGCCTTGCAGCATCTCTTTCTCTCATACACTCCCTCAAAGCAGGGGTAAGCCAAGGAGCTGGAGGATATCGGATGGTTTTTGTGATAAGAGGAGCATGTCGGTCGAGGATAGAGTGAAGTTGAGTGGTAAGGATTTCTACCATGGTGTCTATGGATTTTGAGGAGTAGATGGGATCCCACTGGATATCGTCAAGACCTTCTGACAATGTTTCGTGAGTGAGATAATCTAGGTTTCGGAAGGATATTGTTCGGGGAGAAAAGGATGGAACAGGGACATTGTAAGAGATCTGGACAAGATCGTGGGAAGATAGAAACGGAACCGGGTGCTGAGATGCGGCAAGGAGTTTGTCTGAGGAATCCAGGATAATTAGATCGAGCCAGGACTCTGAATACTGAGTATGATGGGTTGGATTGTAGGGTACTATGTAAAGGCTGAGAGAATTAAAGAGGTTTGTTAGGTAGGAATAATCAGAGGATGGTGCCAGTAAATTGGTGTTAAAGTCACCGGAGAGGATGATGTTTGAGTAGGAAGGGATTAAGTTGTACAATAAAGTCTCAAGTGATTCATCGAAAGGAATTCTAGGAGGGCGATATATGACAGCAAACAGAATGGCAGATGAGGTGGTGAGGATTTCGGCGAAAAGGTATTCAACGTGCGGAGAATCGGTTATGGAAGAGCAGTGAAGGATTTTGGATTTGAGACTGTCATGGACAAAGAGACCTACTCCACCACCCGTGCGATCTACTCTGTCATGACGAAGGAGAGTATAGTTAGGTAGAAGGATCTGGGAGGACGGGATTGTGGGTTTCAACCAGGTTTCGGATACGGCAATTAAATGGTAGAAGTTATGGAGAAAAAAGTCGTAAAATTCATCAAAATGGGCTAAGAGTGACTGAGCGTTGACGTGGCAGGTTAGAAGGATATTAGTCATGGAAGAAGGAGGGGTGGCTTGGTAAACGGACAGAAGGAGTTAAGGATAGGAATATTTCTACAGCAGCTAGAGCCAATTGTGTGCAAGATCTCCTAGATATTAATAAGGATGGTAAACAAAAAATATAAAATTTAGTTAACGAAAAGCATATTCCTATTGTGCAAAAGAAAAAAAATACACAAATTAGAGTTTCTGAACAGATCAGACCTAAAATATTCTCATAAACAAAAATGAAATTATTATCATAGTCTATTATTAAAACAAACGCAACAAAAACATAAAACTGGGGATATAAAAAAGTAAAAACAAAATTGTTCGAGGTGATGTAACATGTATATGCATGTCAAGCAAACGTGTCTAAATCTGATGGTGAGTTGATGACGACGACCTGCTGTCCATCGTCTCGTCGACATTTCACCTTGCCTGCGCTAAACCAACTGTACCTGATTTTTCCTGCAGACCTCTTTTGCCGGGCCAGCCAGTACAGGTGTCTGTTGGTTACGGACATAGCTTCGCTCAGGTAGATCTTGTGGGCGTCATTTTCTTGCCATCCGAGGTGACGTGTTGAAAAATCCCTAATGACTTTTCGCCTCTGGATCAACTCATCCCTAAGCGACTGCCGGACGAACCTTACCACAAGCGGCCCAGGTGTATCGTCTTGCCTGGTTCTTATCCGTTCTGCATAGTCAATGTCCTCCACCTTTAGACTAAGGCCCAGGCCCGCCCCCACGCTCATAACCAGGCCCATCGGGGTCTCTCCAGATCTCACTGGGACTCCTCTTATTTCTATTGACCTGGAAAGGTGCAGTTGCTCACTTTTATTGAGCCTGATTTCGAGCTCCGAGACCCGAGACTTGAGAGTCGTGTTTTCCAAGACCAGTCCGTCAATCTTGGAATTTTGAGCCTCCAGTAGTGACTCTATAGAGTCTAATTTCGCCGCATTCTCAAAAGTTATGGAGGCTTGCTTTTCGAGAGATATTTTTAATTCTTTCACCTCGTTAGCATTGGCATCGAGGGAGAATTTTAATCCCTTGACCTCTTCTGTTAGATTTTTAATGGCAGCAAGTAACAGTTGTGACGTGCTGTCGACAGTTTGTTGTTGTGGCGCCGATCTTGGCGGGCTGAGACACTTGTCTGTCGGTTGGATATTTTTCCGAGCCTTTTCACATTTCGGGCATACCCAATTTTTTCGTAATGCCCTCAGTGCTTCAAACTCACTCTCGTCTGCGTTTAGACATTTTCCATGGAAAATGGCTTGACATGTTGTGACAGTGCATGCCATTGTTTTTTTTTCTTCTCTTGCTATGGTCTGTTTACAAATTGGGCATAAAACCATCTTGATAAGCGAGAGAAAAGAAGAAAGAGAAAAAAAAAAAATTACGTAAGTAACGTGGTAAAAAAATTGACGTTACCCCAACCTCGTCACTGGAAACACTGAGATATCTAGTACCTAGTCCTATTTATGCGCATGCGCTCCCCACCTATATTCTTATCTAGAGTGCCTGCAATAAATACCTTAAGCCGACTAAAATTATGATTTTTCCTTTTTTCTTCTGACGTGAAACGGCGTTGTATTGAAGAATCTTTTCTGTCTGTGGATATAACACGATTAATAGTTGGTTCTAACCAAAAATTATGACCGAACTCCTTCTAAAAACTGCGAAAATCACTAACTATAAACTGACTGAACTTTTATCATACGCTCTGAACTGAGGTCTAGACCACACTGATAATGATTTTAATTTAGAAAAAACGATGGAATGGTTAATGGTATCAAAGGATTTGGAAAAGTCTAGGAGTACAAGGACAATTAGTTTTTGGTCATCTATAGCGGATTGAACATCACTAATGATTTTCAGGACAACATACCACAAACAAACAAAATGGACTTTAACTACTACTACAAAATGACATACATACCCGAACTTACTAACAAAATTAAAGACGTGTTCAAACATTATGACTTAACAGAAATTAAACTCGGACAATATAATAATAAGAAACAGAGCAGGCACATCACCAATACAAAGGATAAAATAGACCCAATAAACAAGAAAAATGTAAAATATAAATTAAATTGTCAAAACTGCCCCAAAATCTACATTGGTGAAACATCCAAGCAATTAGGGACCAGAATTTCACAACATATTACCAACTGTAAAAATACAAAAAACATAAACACAACAGCTTTAGCACATCACAGTATAAGATTACAGCATAAATTTAACTTCAGTAAACCACAGATAACAGGCACAGAACCAAAAAACAACAATAGGAAATTACTTGAAGCAATACACATCACAAAAACAATAGAACAACAGTCAATTATAAAACAGACACTAAACATTTAGGAACTCATTATACGAACATATTAAACAAAATTAAAATTTAATAGAAATGAAATTGCAGATACATAAAATAAACATTAACAACAATAGTATAAAAATAGTCAGATAAAACAGTCAGATCCAAAGGTCAATTGTATTTCACTATGGCAGACACCCAATTATTGGTCTAAAGCAAGATGTTGCTCTAGATGATATATTTTATAACATGAACTAGAAATTTGACGATGGAGCACATTATTATTATTATTATTATTTTTAAGGTAATTACAAATTTATTGTAACAACAAAATTCTAACATGTAATGTAGCATGCACTATATTTTAACTCAAAAAAAATTTTAGCCTTGCATCCACAAGATGATTGAGAGTTAAGGGTATAATTTATAAAGGGGTTAATTTTAAATAATTCATATTAGGGTATATTTTATTATTATTATTTTATTATTATGTGAATTTATAACATTTTATAATAGGGTGAAGATATAAAATTTTAATTTTGATAATAATTTCATGTTATTTAAATTTAACATTTTGTTTTTGCAGTTCAATATATTAGCTCTCCTATTATTAACAATCCCAATTAATTAAAACATAATCAATTTGCATATATAATGATGTAGAGATGGTTGACCGTTGATATAATATGAGAAGGAGTTAGCCGGGGGTGCGGTCAAATAAATACTACATTAAAATATAGTAATTATTTTTATTTTTTGCCGACGTTTCGACCCACTTTGCAGGTCGTCTTCAGGGCTACAAAAGATACAAAACATGTTGAAAATAAAAAATAAATATAAGTAGATATAAAATAAGAAGAAGTTGTCATATACAGAAATAAAAGATGATATCAAAGATATAGTGGGTGATATCTCTGATATCATCTTTTATATCTGTATCTGACAACTTCTTCTTATTTTATATCTACTTATATTTATTTTTTATTTTCAACATGTTTTGTATCTTTTGTAGCCCTGAAGACGACCTGCAAAGTGGGTCGAAACGTCGGCAAAAAATAAAAATAATTACTATTTTATTATTTTATTTATTATTATATTACTTATTTATTATTTTAATTTAGTATTTATTTGACTGCACCCCCGACTAACTCCTTTTCAATTTGCATATAGTTGTGTTCCTTGAAACTATTTACTAAAAAAAAAAATGTTCCCACAAAATAAAAAGTGGCCACACTGTCTCAAAATGGCATCCAAACAAGGCGGATTGACGTCATTGACTTGAGTTAGTTTTTCAGTCACTGAGATTCAGCATTTGGCTTAATTTCATCATAATTGGCCTTTTTTCAAAGCTGGATAGTTAAAGAATAATAAAACATGAAAAAATAATTGGCCTTGGCAATAAAAAATACCAGTAAATTTTTTCAAGTTGTTTAGAATTCAAATTCAAGTTGTTGTTGTTGAGAATACATTTTTCTTTCTAAAACACTGATTACTTTTTAAAATATTTGATGCGGTTAATTAGAAAATACACTTAATCGGTGTTATTAATAATATAATAACATATTTAGTACATTATTATGATTGTATTAACGTTTCTCTTTTTAAAACACTGATAATGTTTTAAAATATTTTATGCAGTTACTTAGAAAATACACTTAATCGGAGGAAAAGTGGCACTGGCATAGGCGTCCAGAGTTCTCTGCCACATCATTAAGTGCTCATAATTGTTTACATTATAGTATTTTATAATGATTGTATAAATATTTGAATGTATTAACAAACAAATATTAATACAATAATTCAATTGACAATTTTTTTTTTTTTTCAAAACTTTATTCATTTTGAAAGCTCGATAGTTCGCTTCCTGTTGGGGTTAGAAAAAAATTTCCTGTATAAAAAATGTTAGGGAATATCATGCCTATAAATAATAAATTGATAATATTTAATGAATAAATGAATTAAATAAGGCAAGCGATGTAAGGTGTAGTAAAAAAAAAAAAAAAAAAAAAAATATATATATATATATATACACACATATATATTAATGACACATTATTGAAACCATCTACCAAGTTAGCTAGACAGGATATAAAAACTATTTCCCCTCTATGCCTAAGTGAGCAATTATATCACCAAGACAATTAAGCACTTAAGCTTAAGATTCATACTTCCTAAAATATTGCTGATAGTACTGGCATATGATGAGATATGGCTCATGAGACATTATTAAATAAAGTGAAAGTGAAAATGTTCACTCATTATTACAACACTTATACTTTTTATAAAATTCAGCAAGACATAATATTCACATGAATATTACTTAGGGACCAGAACTAACAAAAGCTGAAGCTAAAGAAACATCTAAGAAAGATAGATCTTTCTAGCATTTAGAAAATAAGATAAGAAGCTAGTAGGTGCACTGCAAAATCAATTTGAGCAATCAAAACCAATAAAGCTTGAATGACACTGGAAGCTCAAAAGAGCAACAAATAAAGAAGTGCTAACTATTAATCTCAATCAAGAAGTAAAATAAAAAGTGATAGTGGCATAAATGATTAATGGCACATTTAGTTAACTTATTGATTCATGACACAATAAATAATCTTTTGCTCAAGAAAGTAACAACCCATTTATTACATTTATTGGAATAAAGTATGGATAGAAAATATATATGTTTTTTAAATTCAATTCATTAATCATTACCTTAAGATTCAACAAGAACAATCCTGCATAATCATAATATCAATATCTTGAGTGAATTATTTCACCTAAATGCAATTTCAAGATAATATATATCTAAGTAGTAAACCTCCTTCTTTACCTAAAATAAAATAGAAAACTCAAACAAAATGTATACAATATAACAGTAAGAAATTAAAAAACTTATTTTAAAAAGAATTTATCAATCGTGAGATCATAAAAAGACATAAATATTTAAAAAAATTAAATTTCAAATAATCTAATAAACAAAATTACACAGGGTGTCCCGTAAATAGAGGGAAATCTTTATAGAAGAGATAGCAGACCTTCAGAGCTACAAAAAAGTTTGTATAAACAATGGGCCAATTTTCAGCAGAAAGTAAGAAATCAAAGTTTTGTGTTTTTTAAAGTAAACCACACCTTTCGTTGAATAGGAAGCTATAACTAAAGAAATATTTGATTTAAGTAATTAACAATAACTTCACTGCAAACTAGATAAAATTTCCTTCAAGTAAAAATAGATTTTTTTATTGTTAAAAATATTTAAAGCAGATTTTTAAGTAGCTAAACTAAGCAAAGTTCTGTTTAAAAAAAACAACATCAATTATTTTTTTTTTTTTTATCATCATCCAACTATACTACTGATATCCTATTTTTAGAAAAACTTCCTCGTTTAATAAGCATTAAATCAATAATAATTAAGTTGAGGTTTATTAGACAAAAACTTGAGATTTACATCTAGTGTAAAAAAAAATTATGTGATTTTCTATCGTGTTACTTAAAAGTAAGTGTGTTTTCAGCAAAAATGACTATAATTAATTGCAAAGCTTTCATTTCTTATTTTTCCATGATCTGGGATGTATTGTAATAAACATAATTGCGTAAATATACTTTGTATTAATAAAATAAAAAATAATGATTTTTTAAATATTTTTAAATGATGATGATTTTTCAAATAGGAATTCTGGAATCCAACTCCATCAGTACTGTTTAACAGCACAGTCCAGCTTCATGGATACGCGGATGATTTTGATATTGCTGCCAAATCGGAACGGGTCATACGAGAATCATTCCTGGCTCTGAAAAATGTTTCTAGGGATCTTGGCCTAAGCCTAAGGATGAGGGCAAGAGAAAATACATGCGGATTGGAGGAGCCGAACCACGAGTTGGATATTTTGATGCAGGAGAGTACCGTTTTCAGAAGATAAGCAGTTTCACCTATTTGGGTTCGGAAATCAACTCCCAAAATGACAATACCCAGGAAGTAAACATAAGGAT